ATGCTGGCGGGAACGTTCATCTACGGCCGGCAGTACGCGCCCGCAGAGTACATGTGCACGCTCCTAGTTGCGGGAGGCGTCTCAGTGTTCGCCCTCTTCAAGGTACTGAACTGCCTCTTCGTTCCTATGTATTTAATGATGGCCTAAGATGGAGGGCATCCGTCGAAAGGTTTCAAAATTTGGATGATGTTACAAGCCGTCAAACGATGACGGGCTTCGGAAAATTGTCTGCTGCGAAGTTAAAGAATGGGCGGTCGTCTCTACGAAAGCTGCCCTTCTGTGTAAGCTCTTTGTTGTTGCCAAAGGGTGGGGTCGCACAAGGTGCAGAGAGGAAGAGCGGTCAGCTTTCTCGGGCCCTGTGCATGACGTCAGGATTGAAACGGGTAACGGCAGGTTTAGAAATGCGGATGTGCATGGCTGGCGTGTATCTACGATCGTATTTCAAGGCTCCACTGGAAGGAGTTACTGAATTTCACCGTTTCATCTGCTCTTAGGATCGTGTCAAGTTTTGCTTTGTGCGCCGATGCTAGGAATCGTTCCGCTCGAAACCAACAACTCTGGACCACCGTGTTTCAAGCTTTCTGTCCAATACAATCACGTCGTAGTGTGAGCAAAGTAGGTGTGCCGGTTCAAAACGTGCTTTTTGGTCTTAAATCCTCATCTGCCCCGTTTTGATTTTGAATGTTTCCGCGCCTCCAGGGGTCCGCAAAGACGATCAGCAAGCTGGCGCACCCCAACGCCCCGCTGGGCTACTTCTTGTGCTTCCTGAACCTGGGCATGGACGGCTTTACGAACGCAACGCAGGACTCGCTGGTGGACAGGTAAGTGTCGCTCTCGCGCTTGCAATAAGCTCATGATGAAGACAGCACAGTGGCAGCATTCGCTCGAAGCCACGTCCAACGTGCCTGGAAAAGTTGACCGCAGGTCTGAAGCAGCCTGGAAAACAAATCGAAGGGCCCCGTTATTGTGCGGCGGGAACAAGTGGATTGGATTTGCATGTGCGGTCTGTTTAAGGATTTTCCTCTTTGGAACAACGTAGGCCCCGCATCCGGCCGCTGCTCTGTCCGCTGGAGCGCTTACCGTGGTGGGTATGCGAAGGAGGTTTCCGACGCTTGACGGCCTTTTTGATTCGAAGGCGGGGGACTGGACCTCCGGTACCTGCGCAAACCCTTTCATCGGACGGCATTGCAGGTACCCGAAGACGACCTCTTGGGACATCATGGTCGGCATGAACCTATGGGGCTCGATCTACATGTGCGCGTACATGTTTCTCTTGCCGGGCGGGGGCGGCTGGGACGCCGTCGACTTCTGCCGAACGCACCCGGAGGCCGCGTGGGACATCCTGGTGTTCTGCTTGTGCGGCGCCGTCGGGCAAAACTTCATTTTCTTTACCATCAGCAAATTCGGGGCGCTCGCGAACACAACGATCACCACGACGCGCAAGTTTATGAGCATCTTGCTTAGCGCGGTCTGGAACGGCAACCCGCTGACGTTGGAACAGTGGACGGGGGTGACGATGGTTTTCTCGGGGTTGTCGTACGGGCTCTATCTGAAGTGGAGCAGTAGACGGAAGCGGAGCACGGCTTGATAGAGGTTGCAAACCGAACGGGACCGTACTGAAGAACTTCGACTGGTTTGCAAAATTTTGATGTACCATTCGGCTCAATTGTTGACCCTCATCCATTCACCATAATCCGCTCGTGTATCCGGAATAAACCCACAAAAGCATTAGTTGCCTAGCAACCGTAATTGTCCGACAAACAGTGCGCTGTGGTGCCGTTGGGCCGCGGCCGGGCCTCCCTATCTGCTACATAATACCTGATTCGGAGATGTTGAAACGTAGTCACAATGCAATTAGCAAGTAGCTATAAATGATACTAGAAAGCTAGGGCGGCGATATAGTGCATGATGGCGCCTCGATTTTCGCTTAAAGTCTAGATCGTCGCAGAGACGGCCCGCCCGCCACCGCATATGCCAGCCCACAAGGCACCTATGGGGCATTCTGGCCCGTGACGCACCGGTCACGGAAATGTCAGACCGTCGTGACCGGGGTGTCGCGCCGGTCTGTCGGGTAGGTGACACCGGCGTGCCAACGGAGCCTACCATTTATATAGAACCAGACCTCCAATTCTAAATCCGGCGCTCTTGAGTGGTTTCTACACATGTGCCCGGTAGATGACATGCTGGGCATTTCTTGGGTACTTAATCAATGCACTGAATATTGCGCAGCACTTGGCTGTATCGCAGATTCTACCAAGTACCCAACACTGTTTTTGAAGCGTACGGAATCGACCTCAAACTGTGCGACGCGTGGCTGTTAGAACATCCAACTCAATGATTGACAGTAGTTGTTTCCTGATTATTCACGATCCGACGGCAACTCACAATATTCAATCTCTCACTGTACGGTGCCGTACACACTCAGTGCAGTGCACACTGCACACTACGGTACCTACATATTGAGTACCGTAGACCGTAAACCGCGACTCAAATAACAACCGACCATGAGGAGCTTTCAGAGTGTGATCGCCTCCGCCGCCATTCCTGAAGATCAAACTTGAGCATAAAGAACTTTCATCTCAGGCCCCTCTTCCATCTAGCGGTCGGTCTTCGTGAATTCAAAAATGGAAGACCAGCTAGAAAGACCGGAGGAATGTGAAGCTGGCCAATAGGAATTTAGAAGATTGAAGACCGACCGCTACTCAATGGAAGAGGTCTCCGGTCCTTCTTCCGGTCGGTCTTCGTGTTGAAAAGGGAAACACCAGTGCAGACTTGTACTCAATCATTGGGTTTCGAGCCCCCACGGTGCGCGCCGCCTTCTCATTGGCCGAGTTCACCGATCAATTCGGAAGACCGGTGGGATTATTTCAGTACCGGCGGAATCCAGCGGTAGTAAAATAAATACTTCTTGACCGCCGACGTGGCACGGAAGTTTTCGGAAGACCGCTCAGTGTAAGACCGGTTCTCCGTATTAAAAGGGGGTTTTGGCCAATGGGAATTTAGGAAAGGAAGACCGACCGCTAGATGGAAGAGGGGCCTCATTACGAATTTTGCTATGAACTCTTTTGCATCTATGCTTAATTCCTTCTAGTAGAAGGTCCAGCATTTTAGAGCATGTGTATCGGTTAAGAATTGAGCCAGATATGTGTTCCTAGGTGCCTTGCTCATTTTAGGGTTTTGAAGTGTAAAATGTGACCCAACTGCTTGCGTAGCTGACACTGAAACTAAAAGTGTGGACACCCGGTCACTTCGCCGCGACCAATCGGTCACGGGCCGTGACACGGATGCCCTGCAATCGACGTGAACCGCGTCACCGGTACCGACGGTACTCTGACGAGTACTGACCGGTTCGACGGTGAAGCGTAACAGCCGGTTTTGCACCCTAGGTGGCTTGTGCCGGACTCTGAGGCCCGAGGTCATGGACTCAGCCTTCCGATCCGTGGAGTTTAGATGCATAGCGCGCCGGCCGGGCCCTATTTTCCGTTGTATACAGCGTACGTACAGCACCGTGGCGCCCTTCGTACGTTAAAGATCCCATGCTGCACCCTGCCTGAGCCAAGCATGACCATGCATGGTCATGCTGCATGCAAACTGTACGAAAAACATGCCCAGACTGAGTCATGATCGAGCGTGTGCGCGGCTTTACATATACACACGTATGGTCAGCTTTCGCGACCGTTCAAATAAACAATTTATCCTGTCGCGCGATCATGCACATGTGGGATCAGAGCTTTGGCCTGGCCATACACTCGGGCCCGGGTCACGTGAACAACTATATAATGATTTATCATTCATGGTGGCCATGACCTATGCATATCATACATAAGCCGTTTGGACAACGTGCAACCACATCATCGTACCTTACACGCGTGGCTTGATGTGTGGCAACACGCCGACGTGTGCGACGGCGATATGCTCGATGGCTGCATTCCCACAGGCGCTACGTCTTCATGGAAGCGGCCTGAGGCCGCGTGCCACGCAAACTAGTTAACAAACATTCTTCCAGCGGCGCCGCGGAAACCATATTCCGGTGCCGAATCAGAGCCGGAGCCGAAATCCGGCAAATGTTTAAGACGCACGGCTTCAAACAGTACGTACGGCTTCAAACCGTCACAAGTCAAGCTTTCAAGATCCGCTGAGAAAGCAATGTCCCGCCGCCGGCGAGAACTTGCTCAAGAGAGCCCTGCAAAGCACGCTTCGTCTGGAGGGGCTATCAACCGGCAGGCTCTAACACTGTGCTACGTACACTCTTCAACCTGTCCTTTCCTCGCTACGAACCCCTGTACTTCATAGTTGAACAGGCGTCAGATCGATTGTATCCGTGGCCCGTCCTTTCGACGCGACCTGCAGAGAGGCGAGATGGGCGATTATTAAACCGTGAAAGCAGGTGTTCTTGAATTGAAAGGCAAGAGCAACGACTGAGCAGGTTTCAGAACTCTCGGAAAGCAGAGCCCTGCTGAAGCGGAGTGTATGGGCGCACGGTTTGCACCAGCGCAAAATCAACGGAGATCACGCCTCGGGAACGGCAGATCGCAAGGTTGCAGTCTTATTACCAAACGGTTACTTCTTTACTCTTTGCGGGCCCGCAGAGCTCGTTCTCTCTTGAGAAAATGTGCTCATACAAAACGCGAAAAGGGAACGCGACTCACCGCGATTTCCATCAGCTCTACTAGCAGCTCCTTTAGTTGGCGCAGAGGCTGCACCACAGGAAGAAAGCGTCTTAGTGACTCCCACCCACTGCTTTGGATCCTTGTTCCCTTCGCCTTTCACATGTCGTGCTTGGCATTGACACAAGAATTGAAAGCAACACCAGAACCGATCGCAGGCGCAGAGTCGTCGAGCTCTCGAAAGCAGACGAAAACGTATGTAAAGCGAAGACGGGATGCAGTTTGATTGCGAGCAAACCTCTGCTAACCGCCAAGCTCTGCTTTTTGGGGACAGACAAGATTGAACTGTTCAGAATAGATTGTGCTTCGTAGACTTACCCACTGAGTGGGCCCATCCACCGGCGCGTTTAGTGGGTCATTGTGAACCTGCGAGGGAACGCAGATAACATTGCTTTCGCACGCTTCTCTTTCAGCTTAGGCAGTGACTATGGGGACTACCTGCTATCTTCTTGCTTCATCCCACTCTTTGGAACGTTTTCAAATGCTCAAAAGGTCAGATGCGGGTTCTTCGTCCAATTCCTTCCAGCCTTTACAAGAAGACTGAAAGACCTGGACAGTTGCGAAAATGGTGGCAACCGGTCCGACGTACTGCCAAAGCTCTGCTAAGCACGGAATGAAATTCTTGAAACGACAGAAAGAAAAAACGGGGCAGATCACAGCTGGAAGCATCCAGTCAGAAGAACAGTTCCAAATGCCTAGAGTGGGCCTATACGAGCTTGCACGTGACAGAAAAGCGGTTGTGGCAGACAATCAACATACGCGGATGGAAAAGTACGCGTGCTTCCGCTTACCTCCATAAATATGCCGTCTACTCCTACCGCCACACACGTCCTCGCAACTGCGGGGATCATCTCACGGAGCCCCCCGCTCGCTACGCCACCCCCCTCCAACTGCAAACAAGCACATGTTTCCAGAGTTTTGAGGGAGTAAGGAGGGAAGACTTCTGACATCCGGGCGAGTACTGACGAAAAGCTGCAGATCAGAACACGACGATTCGGACAAGATTGTCTTAGCCTGGATCTAAAATAATGTTCATTTATTTCAGGGCCACTGACAAACGGCAAGACCAATGTCAATTGATTGCTCCCTTGCGTTCAGGTGTTCGCACTCGAAACAGAGTCCTACATACTCAGTAGCTTCGCATCAAGCCATTCCGTTTATGGTATTCATTCTTCCTGAGACCATCTGCTTCCAGATTGGAGGTATTGTCGGCCCCAAAGAAAGCCTTGGGGTCAGAGACTCTCGAGGGCTTCACCGCCATAAGCAGCTAACAAGCAACTGAATATGCAAAAGCTAGGAATAAGTCTGTTCAAATTCAGGAATAAATGACAATAAACCCGGTGAATGGGGGACAAAGTTCGCCGCACAACTTTCGAAAGCCGTCCCGAGAGAATCAAGACGAACCTCGCAGAAGGCATAATCTCTCAAGTGCGAGAGAAAGCCGTTCCGCCTGCTTACCCACTCAGATAGGGCCACGAGATCGTAAGTGTATGGCGCCAAGGGTAAAAGCTAACAAATGGGAGAAAGAGGTCCGCTTTGCGCACCTTTCTACCCGCGGGCTGTTGTAAGGAGTGCGTGATATCAGCAACCACGGGGCAGCCGGCGTCTCGCATCCACACCAGGCTGCGAGGGTCGACGATCAAGTCATCTGTGGCGGAACACAAAAGACCGTAGGTTATTCCCTGTAATCTTCTCTCCTTAAAGTGGGCGTCGCATTTCAAAGCTCGAGAAATGAACAGTAGTGAGTACGAGCCTTTTCTTTGGACGGACCAAATCGGAAGTAAGACGAATTCGGGCTCTCTGCACTGTAGATCGCCGGGAGTGGACATCCATGTCCTACGCCCACTTCAAAACGTCCTGTTTGGGATAAGAGGCAACGGTTTTATCTGCAAAGCTGACAATCATCCGGCGCTTTGGAACGTCCTTCACATAGCATCTGGGAGATGCGCTGGCCTTGCCGCATGACTTATAAACATGTTTGGCCAACAAGATGTATCACACTGCTAAAACCGATCGCGGACCGAAAGGACGAGCAAGTGGCCATGGCCGGACACTGGTAGAGAGTGCAAGACTTTCGAACGCAGACTGATGTGGAGAGAAGTGGGTCTGAGGTGTAGTGAAGCGGCAAGGATCATTGCTTTAGGTGCAGCAGTGAAAGACCGGGGGGGACAAGAAGAGAAGAGAGCCTATAACAGTGTTGAATCATTCAAGTAACTTGTGGGTACTTAATCCGGGTACTTTATCCGAGGTAATTCATCCGAGATTGTTTATTCGTGAGTTGCTTTTTTCCTTCAGCGTTTTAAGCCACCGCAACAGAACTCTGATTGAAGCAACTCTCGATACAAAGCGTAAATCATGCATAGACAGCTCGGGGACACAAGTTGAAAATTTCATCAAAGTATCATCCACACCCAAGATTGTTGAACATCTGGAAACCACGAGTAAAGCGGCCGCAGTCGGCAATCAAGAAAGCTTTCAAAGGATGATTCATGTGAAAGGCAACTCACTGTACCCAAACATAGTTCCCCGCTCGCAAACCATGACGTTCGGATTACCCGCCAAGCGGACCTTCTCTGCGGAGCTGGTCATGACCTGCACGGAAAACGAGATGCTTAACCGTCCTTAACCCTCCTTAACAGTCCTTAACCATGCTTGACAACAGCCAGGGTTGGGGACAGGGGAGCAATGAAAGAAAGTCGCGACCGCAATATCCAGGCAATCAACGATTCAGCAGGAAGGGAGACGGTCTTCGAAAGTTTCTCGATGATTTCTAGAGCTTCGAGGAAGAAATAAAATCTGCGGGAGCATTCAAAGACAAATCAAACAGTTGCTAGAAGCCAGCAACTCAAAGCGAGAGCAGGTGTGAACCCGCAAACACAAAGGCCTGAAGCATGAATGCGAAAAGCGGAAAGCGGAAAGCGGAAAGCGGAAGGACGGGAGGGCGCTGACCGCTGGCGCGCAAAACTGGCCCTTCTTGATGTTGATCACCCGCCCCGTCTTAGCCGCTGCGACGAGAAGGTCTGTCTGCAGAAAAGCAGGAAGACTGTTACGAGTCAATGCTTGATGAAACCGTCGATTGGGATTCCTCCTTCTTCCAACCGAACTGTTTCATAAACCCAGCAAACCAAAACTCTAGAATCAATGGTTGATTCTAGCGGGGAGCAAAGATAACGATTCTGTTTTGACTCCGTCTGTTATCTATATCTGTTGCGAGCAATAACACTTTGCATCATGAAACTCAATTGGGAGTACCAGCCTGCATTCAAGCCTTGGGGTCGAGATCTGACCAAGCTCTGGGAGCCACATGCAGCCTCAAAGTTGAGAAATTGCAGAGCGGCTTGCCACTTTGCTTAAGTCTCAAGCTGAAGCGCTGAGGGATCAGAGGCGTCCCGAATGAGCGAGGACATTTGATGAAGGGGATGCCAATGAAGTTCAAAGGGAGAAAAGCGGACAACTAGAGAATCTCGTAAGGCAACTCGTTTGATGGATCCGTAAGGTTTACGCATCCGAAGCGGAGGGTCAGTTGAGTGAACGCTTCGCTTGGCCAACCTGCGTGCCTTACGAATCTGGCAGGAACAGACTCCTCACTCTGTCGAGACTTCGACTAAGGAGCCTTACCAAACGACAGCCCATCGAGTCAGGCAAAGGGCTTGCTGTCTCATGCGAGTTTTAGACGCAGCGATGAAGAGGGGAGAAAACGGAGCGTGTGCCTGAACAACCCAACAGTGCACCAAATCGATCGGATTAGTCAGGAAGAAGAGACGCAAATCGGTTCACCTGCCGACAAAGGAAGGCCGGGATTTGGATGACGTCAGCAACCTCGCCCACGGCCGCGCACTGCACAGAAGGTGACGTCACTTGCATTGTCGAGAAGTGCCTTCCTTTTGAGACAGGTCCGTGGGCTGTACGCTCAACCGAATGACTGGAAAACGTTCTTCTACCGGATGATTTGAAAGTCTGTTTTGAGTCGTTTGGATGCGGGAACATTTGGCATCGAGGAGGCATGATAGACAATAATAGGTGGTTCGAAGCAGGTGAACGCTGGCCGCTCAATCCTCCAGGACGGATGAAAGGAATGACAAATTATCTGCTTGGGAGCAATGCAGTTCGAGCTCAAAGCAGGTCTTCTCTGAGAATGGGTGTTGTGAGAACCAACCTGAGAAGCCTCGTGCACGTCAGTAACAATTTGCAGGCCTAGCGTCTCCTTTATCTCCTTGAGTACCTGCAAAACACGCAGACTGTGAGGAGATCGCTTCGGTTTATTGAGCCTTTGTCGATAAGCTCGAGGACCACATTATCGAGGGCAAACAGGAGGATGATCAGAAACTCGAAGCAGGAGACGATGATACGAGAAAGAAGCCCCTTTGCCTTTGAATTGTGGACAAAGGGTGGGCAGGAAAACAAAAACTTCTTCTTACACGGTGTCCACATTAGCTACTCATTCTGTCGAAACAAACTGAAAGGTTTCGGTTGCTGGGATTGATTTTTTGTCAGCAAAGGTTCCAGCAGAAGTGACTCGACCTACTTCCAGAGAACATGAGATCAAGGGGCCATGGAGCTAAGATAAAAGCTGTAGGACTTGCCTTAAGCCCCTCTTCTAGGCCAGGCCCCCGAAAGGAGCTTGCCGAGGTCCGGTTCGCTTTGTCGAAGCTGCTCTTGAAGACCAGCATCAGTCCCAGCCTGCAAACCCGGAATCGCCTTGATCAGGCCAAATGAGGACGTGATTCAAACTGAAACAATCTGAGAACGGTTATGCGACTCCAGCCAAGCGCTCTTCGAGAGGCACGAGAAGTTGAGAATGGAGAAGCGACGCACCTAGTACAATCTAATGTCGACTTCCTCAGAACCTTTGTATGGAGTGAATCTGTTTTCTTTCACAATCGGGCTGAGAATGTGGAAATGTGGATGGTTCTTTCCTCTTACTGTCACACTTGATTGACATCCCGCGCTCGTTCAAGCAATTGCTTCGTGAGACAGCGCCGTTTATCTTCATCTACAAGCTGTCATAGTTATTTCCACAGACAAACAATGGACTTTAATACAGCGGTTCTTACCTACCCTCCTCTACCACTATCCGCTGATCGGGCCAAGGAACTTTAGCAAAACTAGACCACAGACAAACCTAGCAGGTCCTCTTCTTAGGGCCAGCTTGTGGTATAGACAAACAACGAGAACACAACCAACAGATGGTCCAAACAAATTGACTGAGTGTCAATCCGCGCAGGTGGGAGAAGATGCCACTCACTCGTCAGCAATTGCTTTGAGGTGCTTCGCCATGCCCAGCGTATGCTCTCTGGACTCGATGACGTTTGGCCCAGCCAGTAGGAAAAACGGCGATGCTCCCTGCAGGAAGAGAGTGGTTGTCTGAAACGAGCATCATGCACCAGCCTGGGTTCTAAGATCAATGCTATTAGTGTCATCAGGAGATATGATTGTCACTCTCTAAGAGCATAAGGCCAAGGCAAGTGGTGATAAACGCTTGGGTACTGAGTTTATACCACCAATCTGTGGGTAGAATTTATGTCAAGCTGGAAGTCACTTCGAGTGCGATGCAGTCATCTGATACATCAGCAGCACATCCAGGAAGTGCAACGGTTTATCTTGTCTGCAACAATCCTGAACCCGTCGAATCAGTAGTGTTGAGCTCAACAAAGTTGCTGACCCCACTGTGGGACAGGTCATGGCAGCCTTTGAAGGACTCAAAAAAGCAACTTTGCTTTCCAGTTACGAGCTGAAACTCTGCTTTCCAATGGTCCCAAGCAGGTCTCCGGCAAATAGCTCACCTTCAAAGATTTGAAAAAGGCCGTCTCTAGTCCGAGCACATCAGAACCCATGTTCTCAAAAACAGGACAATAGGACATGCACTACAGTGGATGCAGGCTCAGGTTGCGAGCGTGAATGCTCGATCCAACACCATCAAGCTCGAGCCAACATGCTAAAGTGAAACATGCGGCCGCCAGCACCAGTGGCAGCAGCTGCGTCCTGCGCCTCAGTCTTTGCAATATTGCATAAATTGATGAAACCCTAATTCGGACACTACTCGAGTCTCGGACCGTCGTGCGGGCCGTCCACACTTTATTACGTCACTCCAAACCTGCTGACCGGTACCATTGGCCAATTGATTACTCGTGAGTCGAGAGCTGTGACACAACTAAGCTTTCGACAAGAGTTTTCGAATCTGACACTTTTCCTGCCTGAGTCTTCCCGACCTGTCCACTAAACCTTCAACCGGCTGAGCTCATGACTGTTATCAGCTATGGTCAAGGGGCGACGCCTCTCGGTTGAAGTATTTGAGTCGTCGGTCATGAGTTTGACTGGCCCGGTATTGTCAGCCACCTCGTATCGAAAACGGGTCAGACACGAATGTCTACGAAAATGGTTGGAACGTCTGAATGCGGTGTACATACACTGCCTCTGACATCATCGTACAGTGACGTGTTCCTACGTAGGCGACTCGCCTGACCGGGCGTTACAACGTTTGCAGTCGTGCAATCTGCTCCGTTCGATAAAAGCATCGGACCTGGTTGCATGGTTGGGACATTTCTTGGCCACGCGTCCCAACAGGATTGGTGAGATGGTTTACCCATTACGGTTGGTCAGTAACTTCAAACTGTACGGGGGTTCCCGCCATCCCAGCGTTTGTCAATCTCGTCAACTCTAGATTCTAGGGAGGGGTACCCAGTCTGTACTAAGCAGTACTTCGCACGTAACGAGGTCGTCTCCTCGCGCTACGTTTGCTAGCTACCGCGTAGGCCTAGTACGCTGCAGAGCTAGAATCCAGATGCCGATCAGGGGGTTTCGTCTCCTCAAGCGACCGCCGATCCTCCTTCATCCACCTGGAGGCAGGGCGTTTACCTGGGTAACCTAGGCACTATCTACGTCCAGCGCTGCACCTTAGGCACAGGGCCTTCATCACTTCATGGAAGATTGATTCTCTGATCGCTAGCTGAGCACTTGTGTGGAGGAGATCCGACGCATGCAACGTTCATTACCCGGGTACATCATTGCTGATGTCAAAGTTCGACTCTAGTCGAGATATTGCATGGGTTTCAGCTGCTACGAGGTCTTGAGAGTTCGCCGGCTAGGGATCAGCTGATTGTCGCTGGCTAGGGATCAGTATAATCAGCGATGTGAATTCAAGGGGTGGTTGCTGTAACTAGAGCTCTTGATCTCTTGAGCTCTTGATCTTTTCCTAGAGAAGGACCCGATCCGGGGTGCACCGTGCCATTGTTCTTCCTGACGGAAAAATAGTGCCAGCTGGCAGGATGCAAGAGCTTGCTGGTTTGGTCTTTCCATCAGGTAGTACTACTACTAGTAGACTACTTGAGTTTTGATCTCTCAGCAAAGCCTTGGAAGGCTTTCCTGATGCAAATATCCCCACCCTTGATCAATTATAGTTGAAGAAAGGAGCTTATTTACCATTGGCTGGCGGCATTGCCAAACCTGCAGCAGAGCTCCAGGGGTTCTTGCAAGTGGTGCAGACAGCATTGCTAAGAGCTGCCCCTATTCATATCTAAACAGTCACAGGCAAAGCTAGATCACCACATTGCAGCCCTGGGGGCTTGAAAGGTGCTACTTTTGAGCGGCACTCCAACTCTCAAGATGAAACAGCTGAAAACAGCCAAGATCCTAAACGACACGGGTTGCTACGTCTATTTTGAGGATTACATTGTGCGGCCTAACGACGCCATGGTTATAAAGAGGACGGATGACGGCTCAAGGCAATACTCAGTGTCATTGATCTACGGGGATGAACAGCCGGACGGGAGCCTGCGCAACCTCCAATTGGGTGACCATCTAGTCACCTTCAATGATGATGCCGTCTTGGTGCCGGGGTCAAAGTGGTACTTGACAATGGATGGATTGCTCGACGAGGTAAGCGTCGTTTTCTAGAATTTCTGAAATACTTTTGCTTTTGCTGGGTCATTGCATTCGTTTGCAAAGCTTTTCTGTACTTAAGTCTTTATTATGGATGCTTCATTGCATGTCTACAGTAGTTTAGCCCCAATTATGTGCATAGGGATAATGCAAGCCCGTAGACATTGCAGATAGTTGCTGGGAAACATTGCTGCGAGGAAGACCTTTGATATAGAATGAGGGTGTGCTTTACGAGTAGATTGTTTGCTTTTGCAGAGAGCGGCCCAAGACTCACCGACAGGCAGTGGGTCTAGCCCAACTTCGAACCACGGGGGGCTTGCCAATAAATGGAAAGGCCGGTTGATGTCCTTAATAAAGCACTGATGATCAAGAAAGCACAGATGATCTTTGGTAAGACAATCTTGGGGACGAAGCTGTCCTGACAGTTTTGTAACAACTACTAATAATAGATAGTGTTAATATAGATACGCCCTGCGGGGCTGTAGTTCAATGCAAAGCCGCTGGTGCGAGACCATTTTTATTTTCTTGTGGGCTTCGGGTGCTTTGTAAAGGCAAGTGTTGCAAAACAGATGAGAAGTGGCAGTCAATGATGATAAAATTTACGGATTCTTGAGCAGCAAATCAGGCCTTGTGATATCTCAGGTTGATTCCTTCCCCAGAACAATAGCCAAGGGAGTCAATGGTTGAACAAAACCTCCGTACAAAGTCAGGACAATCTTGCTCTCAAATTTTGAAACCCTTACTGGTAGGCCTTGTTTCATGGCTAGTTGGATAATGCATAGCTCGAGTTCTGGCTAGGTTAAGCTTTAAGCGTTTGGCTCATTTGGCAGGATTCATTCAAAGCCGCAACTTTCGACGATCTTTGAATGAACCAATCCAGGTGTGCAGGTTAGTGTGTGAGTCTGTTAAACGGTTCTGGTAGGTGCAATGCTTTTTCAAACATTGGGCAATAGCCTCTTGCCAACCTAGACTCGTCAACAACTTGGTGAACATGGACAGGGCGCGCCGCGGCTTGACAAACTGAAAGCATCGTTGGCTGTTGTTCCTTGTAAAGATTACTGAGGTTGTCAACAATGGTCGTCAGGTGGCCGGACTTTTTGTAGTTGGCTTCTTCTGAAAGCATGCCGGCAATCTACCTGGGCCTCAGCACATGATGCACGAATTCCATCCGATCACCATTGATTTGAGATCGTTGCATGCCAGTTCCATGTCTACCTTCGGAGGATCATGGGCTGCATTCCATCCGGAAGCCAGGATCGAACATTGCATGCAAATTTCCAGGCTGTTTATGTATACTTAGTAGTAGATAGGTTTATTCTAAGATATTTGATGTACGGTCGAATTAATCATACGGCAGTTTTTTTAGCATGCACTTGAATCATGCCTAGCTGTCTGTGCGACGACCATATACGTGCACAGACAGCTGCCGCCGTGCTGCATGCCAATTGCAGCCATGCATAGTGCTACTTGGTCAAGTTTAAACCGCACGTCAGTTATGATACAACATGAGAAACTTTCATTGAACAATTATAGACTGTCAGCCAGAAGGTCCGGTGCCCTGCCATCTCAGAGAATGCAAAACAAATGCAAATGACGAAGATTGGACGGAACATGGACGGATATTGGTTACTATCAGCAGCGTTCAAACAGTTGAATGAATGCCAGAAATAAGTGTCACCCTTGATTTCCTGAGTTGTGGTTTGCTTGTATCTTGTGGACTGAAGGTGGAAGCAAGGAGCTTTTCAATGGTCCGAATCTATGTTGTGTACATGTAGGTCCAGTAGTCCAGCAATGTGGTCTACTCATCCTCCTCTAAGTGAGAGAAGTTGAAAGGGATGAACTTATACCCGTCTCCCATGTAGAACTTGTTCATGAACTCAACCCAGTGGAGACGCAAGGCATGGAGGAAAGCCGACAGCGTTTCCATCACCATGAGAACCCCCAAGGTAGCGAACATGAAGACGATAAAACCGATGACGATTGCAACGGGGTTCCCCGTTCCGACAGCGAACAGCAGCACCCGTTCGTAGAAGACAGCGGACAGCTCCGCATGTGCCAGACTGCACAAGGACGAGGAACCGAATTAAGTCTACTAGTGAAGCGACCAATAGCTGAGAAGAAAGGTCGGCAGTCTAAAAAGCAGAGACTATGAACCTCGTAGCACCCTCCTCCTCAATAACCAGTTCCAAAGACGCGTGTGATACGTGATTCGACAAACATCTGCTATTGATGAAGTATCCTATGAATGACCGACCAGTACACCGACTCCACCAGACTCTCGACCTCTTGGCGAAGAAATGTATGTGGCCGCAACCAGTCCCCTTAACGAACGTCTCATTAGGCAAGCAAATTTGCCCAGCTTGAGTCGGCATGAGACGGAGCTGTAGAATGAAGAAGACTCCTGAGAAAAAGCAAGACTCTTCTTGAGGCTGGCCGTCAAGCCCTCATCTTCCCAATGCAGACCTGACTTCGCATTCCCCGTGACGTTCTTGTAAGAAGACAAGTATCTCCACCCGTTAACCAGATCTCAACTTGTCCGGGCCTACTCTTACTCTTCTCTGCTTCCAACGCTCCCCTTCTTCTTGTCAGACAACACTTAGGTCTCGTTTGCGAAGCCCCTGACCCAAGCGCTAAGAGCTGAAAGCAGGACGCTGTGCTGGAGACATTCCAGACCAAAGTCGGGAAGTTGTCTTACCTAAATGCCGACAACTGGAGGTACGACGCTGTGCCAAACGTTCCAGAACACAGTCAGACTCGTCCGCCAAAACACAGTCAGACTCGTCTGCGAAAGTCTTCTCACCTGAGAGCCCACAGCCGGAGGTACGACGCCGTGTTGGAGACGGCGCCGAGGACGAACTCGATGGTGTGGATCATCTGGTGCACCAGGATCTCGCTGAAGTCGAACTCGTCGTGGTCGCCGTGGGCGTGCTCGCCGTCCTCGCCGTGCCCGTGCTCCTCCGCGTCGGAGCCGCCCAGCACGCCGTATGCCCCGTGCTGGAGGCTCTGCACGGAACAACGGAGTTCAAGATGTCAGGATGGCAATGCTGGTGAAGTCGCTTAGTCGGAAGAGACTTGAAAGCGTGTGACTGTGTACCCACAACGCCCGTCCAGCGCGCCAAACGCCCCGTGCTAGAGGCTTAGCACGGAACAACGGATTTCAGGATGTAAGGAACGCAATGCTGGTAAAATCGCGAGGTCGGAAGCTAGCGAAGAAACGTGAAACAATGTGACTGTGTGCCATAGATGCCCGCCCAGCCCGCCGTACGCTGCGCTGGAGGCTCTGCACGGAAAGTGGTGTGCCAGGATGAAGTCAGTGAAAATGCATAAGTGGACGGCGTGGGAGAGGCTTGAAAAACTGTGGCGAAAGACTGGGCGCCCTAAAAATGAGACTGTGCACCCTAGAAATAACGCACGCCCCCAACTCCTGGAGGCTCTGCAGACAGCAATGCATGTCGATGATTGACATTGGTAGACATTGCAGAATCGAAAGGCAAACAACCCAATCCAGGATTTCAGGGCCATGCGCCACCCGACCGAGGACCCGGTAAAACAAGGCCGACGTGCCACCTGACGGTTGTAGACACTCAAAGACGCCACGTGATACAAGATCATGTGCTCGTGTAGGAAAAGCGCCTCCTTGCGCAGTCACACAGTCAGCAAAAAGGTAGACGGTGCCGTTCTGCCATGCAATTTAGCCTGCAAACTGTGGACTTACCGCCAGGTGCTGTCTGCGCAGGGCCAGGGGCTTGGGCAGAAGCATCATCGGGACGGCGATAAAAGCCGCCAGCAGCAGGATGACCTGCAAAGAAGGAATCATCGCAGGTTAAAGAACAATAGAGACTTTTGGCAACGGTCCTTTCGTCTGGGGCAGTTGGCGATTCTCTAAGTAAAGCTCTAAGTAAAGCTCGTCAAAGACTTCAGAGCTGCTCAAAGAGTCCATTGTTGCTGAACTTGCATACCCAAGGGACCTGGTAACATGTTTACTCTTCCACTGGGCTATTGGGCAAGGTCCTCCGAAGGTACTAGGTTAGTCTGGTCGCGAAGATCGAAGCACGCAATCTCAATCATTTGAAACTTCACGGAGAGTGAGCAGAAGCAGGCCTATCGAACAACAAGTGTGCTGTATCCTGGATGAGTATTACGTCCTTTGGAAGCCCTCACCTGGACGAAAGCCTGCCCCCAGAAGAGCTGGTTCTCCGCCTCGACAGTCCCCGGGCTCAGGAACATGTAGATCATGACGTGGTACAGGTCGGCCGTGGAGCCGCTGATCCACTTGATGATGATGAGCAGGGAGAGGTAGCCGAAGAGGGAGCCCAGGAAGACGACCTGGGGGATGAACTCGAACCTGCGGGCAGAGCGTCAAGAGCTGAGTACGAAATTCAAGAACGAAGAGGCAGTTGGCTCAGAAACCGTTGATAGGAGGTGAAGGAACTGACCACCGCAAGATGCGTTGGAGCCCAGTCAGAGTGTGCATGTCGGGGGAAACCGTATAACCTTCAACACAAGAGCGGCATTCCGAAGAGCTCGTGGAGTATAACAACGAGTCACGGTCTGAATATTGTTAAGTACGAAAAGTACGAGTCAGAGTGAGCCACAAAAGAGGCGCACAACCCTTCGGATGCAGTTCCGACATCAACAGCCGTTCTGATATCAACAACATCTGCCTCCGCAGTCTGAATCAGCAGATCCGAAGGGAACAAAACAACGACCCAATTCCAGGTTGACAAAATGGAACGCCTCCCCCAAAGTGAGCTCGATCGACGCCTCACCAGATGTTGAGCGGCAGGTCGAAGTACTTGGCGTTGAAGTAGCTGAGGAAGATGCCGGTGAACATCTGGGTCACGCCGAGCAGGATGGACATCTTCATCTTGAGCGAGTTGAGGAACGGCAGCTCCGTGCGGCTGCCGTGCCACGCCGGGTCCACGCCGAAGGGGTACGTGGCGCCAGTCTTGACCAGCCCGGCCGTGGTCTCGTCGCTGTGGAAAAAAAGTAGTCCGGAGTAAAACCTAGGATGCGGATTTGCTTCCCCCCCTTTCATGAGTCAAAGCACTGCTGACTGACATTAGAAGAAGAGCGTTAAGAAGCGGAGATGATGCAACAGGAGCGAAAAAGGATTCATGTTCACGACGTTGAGAGACAAAGAAACAGTTTTCAACCACGAATTATCCGCGAGGTCCATAAACCGGACATACAACTGGCATCCGCTGAGCCCGCAGAAAGAAAGAGCGTCCAACGGAGTGATCGCCAGAAAACATCTGCAAATATTCCACCCTTCAAGCACTTCATGAGCGGGTGACGGATATCTGGCACGCACATCAAGCTCCTCACATTAACTTTTAGCTTTTGGGATATAGAGACGTCAAGGCTTGGGTCAAGAAGGGACTCACGAGCAGTCTGGGGTGCGGCACGTGTAGGCACCCTTGCTAAAGATGGGGAAGTTCACGGAGAAGAACTCGTTGTAGATCAGCCCCGTATAGATGGAGAAGATGGACATGAGCAGGATGCAGTAGCGCCCGCCGAAAGCCATCTCCATGATGTCGCCAAGTTTCTGCAGGTCGCAAACGGAAAATGTTTTAAGCTGAATGAAAGGGTGCACATACGGGTGCACATACTGATTAAGCGCCGACATAATCGAATAGGTAGATTGAGAAACTGATGAGCAACCTGAAGCAACAACGACTTTCAAGGAAGTCGTGACGAGATTAAGCTACAATGTCAACAAGTACCAGGAAAGATTGAACAGCGAATGAAGGAACTAGAATGACATGCAAAGCCCGCCGGCAGAAGGGGGACCCTCAGACAACTCTCAAATCCGTAGATTGTGACTTCCAACACTGTTGAAACGAGCTTTAAGGAGCGGAGTTCCTTGGCCTGTACTATCCCAAATGCAGTTGCAAACAATACAGAAGAAGCATGGAGTAACTCACTCAACAAGTAGGGTAAGTCTTCCTACGTCGATCTCTTCCGATTCTAGGCAACTCCTTCAGAGTCGTCGTCCAACAGACATGCCCATACTCTTCGAAAGCCTCATCCCTTTGTTAGAAATATAGACAACTCTCCTTCATTAGAATATGAAAAGCTTCGCTTGTACTGGTCTCCAGTGTGCTCACCTTGCCCATCCACTTCTTCTCGTTCCCCACCAGGTACAGGCTCGCCAGGAGCATCAGGATGCCGTGGCCCCAGTCGCCAAACATGATGGCGAACAGGAACGGGAAGGAGATCACGGTGAACGGAGCAGGGTTAGCCTCCTGGTATCGCGCAACCCTGCACAGTTAATAAAAATCATCCAATCTGACGATTGGAAGCAAAACCTGCCAAGGCGCCTAATAATGGAACGTGCCTGAAGGACATGGTCACAGGGTCTGAGAATGGGCGGATCATCTTCACGAATGTCGTCGTTTCCCGTCGTATTCCCTCTTACAAACCCGCGCTAAGCCTCATGTCAATTGCCCAGGCAAGAAAAGTGCGGCGCCGAAGGTCATAAGCAAGAGTCAACTCGGCAAAAAGATCTGCGCAGCCAGTCTCGATGGTCCACAATGCAGCGGCCACTTGCCAATGCTTCCAGAAAAACTTCTCGAAGCGGATTGCAGATCTGGATCCTAAAACGGTGTTGCGTTTACTTCCAGCAAAGCTGCCAGTGGCTCTGATCGGCTCACCCGTATGCCTCAACGATCTCCTGGAAGCACGACGTGAACTTGTTCGTCTGGTAGAACGTGGGGGGCATCTCGTGGGTGTTGATCGGCTGGAAGATGGTGCTCACAGTGGAGCTGCTGTCAACGGCCGCCCGCTGCAGCGCATCTTGGATCTGCAGCAACAAGGGGGGCGTGGTTAGGAGATTTGACAAATCAAACGTAAAGAAGTAAGTAACGTGTCTAGGTAAGGTGAGGAGCAGCGATTTGAAGTAAAATGACAAAAGTGCTAGAGAAAATCTGCAGGATTTCCAGATAGCACAAATGACTAGCAGAGGATGGACTGATTATCAGTCTCACGGAAGACCAGAAGCCTACTTCCTGAGCATACCAAGAAAAAGAAGCAAGTGGACGACTCTTTCCGAAGCACATCTGAGGATCAGAGCATCCAGAAAAGTGCCCTTCTTAAGACATACTACAATCCCTCACCTTGGGCTTTGCAAAAACTGGGCACCAGCCCTCAGCCACCAGGCACTTCCTGGTGACATCAATGCTGAGCATGTTAAGCGTGTGATAGATCGCCTTCTTGCGCCGGACGAGCGCGGTCCACGTCTCGATCTGATATGCAGTGCTGGTGAGGACATTGTCACGGTGGCGGTCGCCAGCCTCGATGGTGGTCTCCAGCTCGGAGAGGCGAGCGGTCACCTGAGGACCAGTGAATGTACAGGCTTAAATTGACAAACTGTGTTAGGTGTCTTGCAATCCAACACATTGAGGTGTCGGATCAAGCACACTGCAAGAAGCTTAGGCACCAGCATAGAAGTCTCTTCCACATGCAAGCAAGGGTATTCTCAAAGCTGATGAGAGAATGCTCTGAAGCAGTCTGAAGGTGCAGTCATGAGAAATGCAGAAAGTGTAAAATTCCCTGGTAAGAGAGGTTGACAAAAGTCAGATTGTCAACCGGAAACGAAATCAATGTTTGTTACCTCTGCCATCATCTGCCTCTGCTTGGCTGGATCCTCTGGGAAGGGGTAGCGGTTCGCCCCAAAGGCCTCGCAGATCTTGAGAATCTTTGTGCGAGCCCTCTCACCAGCAAAGAAGACGACAAAGACGCACTTCTCCACCTGCAGAATCGCAAAGACACATGTACGCTCAAACGTCTGTACGGTTGATTTCAAGCCCGGTCTAGCACTCCCAAGCGTAAGGTAGACTGCTAACACCACAAAGGTTGAGTACAACCACAATAAGTTAAGCATTCAGTTTTGAAGTAAGGGTCCATGAAGCAGGATGGGCAACTTGAAGAAGTGAAAATCCCAAGCTGCGAGTATCGAACAACCTCTTCAACCGCATCCATGGGATGCAAAGCAAATGTCGTCTAGAGAATTTGGACAATGCAGGATGTTGAACCAAGAGCTGGGCCCCCTGACCCTACAGACATCTTGCTCAAGTGAGTTCTGCTGGCTGCCTAGGTGCAGCCGCCTGTTGGTGACTGACCTTTTCTCCCGTCTGCGGGTCAATCACTGGGGTCTCCACAGGAGCAAGTCGAAGGAACATGTTGCCTCTCGTTGCCCTGAAGAGCACACGCTCGAAAGTAATCGACTTGGCCTTAGGAACCAGCCCCGTAACAAAGCCGAGCCTGACGACCTTGGACGGGTCCGTCTGCATCTCCTGCGAACGAACAAGCACTGTCAGTGCAAAAAGGGAGAAAGTTCCAGAACTTGCGCTCATAAGAGCCATTGCAAAGAAAAACTAGAACCATCGCTGCAGTGCTTGCGCCTGCAGTAAACCTTCAGATCTGACACACAATTCAGAAGGGCCTACTCCCACTAGCGTATTCCCCTGAAACCACTTTCAGGGGTATCATCTGAAGCATGATGCGCTGGTTGATAGCTTACCTGTTCCAGAAGCAGGGGGCTGTCCATCGACTCAGATGCTACCACAGAGTCCTCCAGCTCACGTTGCTGTACAGCAGCCCCATCCCTTGCTTGCGTGAAGAAACTCCCAGCCTGGCCAGCAAAAAGTAGAGCGTAAGCTTCTGTTAGGCTTTAAAGCTATCAGACAACAGCGTGACAACAATGCGGATAGTTTCACAAAACCATCAATTTCGCAAACTCAGGTGCTCAACGCCATAGAAACCTCACCTTCTCAAGGACAAGCTTCAGTTCAACCAGCTCGCTTTGGCTCCTCCTCAACTTCTCGCTGTTGGAGTTGATCTCAAGAAGCTCCGTTTCAAGTTCCGTGAGCTTGCCCTGCAGGTGGACGTCACGCTTCGATAAACGCAAACCATAAAATCTGCACCTAAAGGCGAGAACAGCAACAAGCGGACTTTCTAACAGGAACACAGAGCAATGCTTTGGATGGACAAGGCATCGCTTGCCTTACACCTAGTTTCGCTGACCGAAGAACATGTAAGTGGAGAAGACGCTTCTGCGGATGACCAAGTTTCATGATTGACGGCTTGCTGACACGCACCTCTAGTTCGTCCAGATCCAATTCTTTTTCAGTAGTGCCGCCTGTGCTGATCCGGAGGTCAGCCTTCTGTATCTGATCCTTAAAGAAGCGCAACTTCCTCGCCATCTCAGCACATCGCTTGACCTGCAGCACACGTTATGCTCATCGCAACGAGCTCGACAACATCCAAGAGGCCCGTACTTTCACAGATTCAAAAGAGAGGCAGACACTCAATGATGCTTACATACATGAAGGAAGCTAAAAGCAGTTTTACATCGCACAGGTGCCTCAGCATATGTCACAGTAACGAACTAGATGAGAGTATTCACCGTGCAAAACAGAAGGGGATTGACCATGTGTACTCGATCAATGTCGTTCTTACCTGGTTGGCATAGGTCCTCTGAAAGGCGCTCTTGTCAGCATTCAACTGTCAAAGAGAACATCTTCAGAATCAGGCAACAAGTAAAGAAGAGCGCGCGCAAGAAAGCAACAAGTGCAAGTTCTGGAGCTCGATCAGAGCATTCAATCTGCATTCAGAGCAGGTGCTGCAGCTGCCAGTTCCAGGTGAATGATGCTTCACTCTAGCAATAGAATTCGGCTACACACATCAAATCAAGCACTTCCAGGGCAACAATGCTCACATCTTTAAACTGGAGCAGGCCAATGTCCCCCAGATAGGACACCGTCTCATGTGCAGCCTCAGCAGGGATAATAAGCTGGACCAATTGCATCTCCTCCGATCGGAACATTTCCATTGTCTTCGGGACATGAGGCAAAGGCCCCTTCGGCCCTCCGTGCGCCATAATTGCCTCCCTCCTTTTCTTGACCCACTCTGCCAACTTCTGCCGTCTCCCTCGTCCAGCGGCCGAGGGCCTGATTACTGGCTCTGGATCAGAGTCACTTCCGGAATCCTGCCAAGCGGGAGATGTGCCTCGGCTAGGATCTCGCGATCTGAGTCGGATCCCTGCACTGCTCCCACTGGGCAGCCCCTGGGGCAGCATGCAACCCCCCCTATTCCTCGCCTAGGCAACCCCGCCGCTCTGCACAAATCTTGGTTTGAAATCCCCCAAGCGCAATTTCAAGGGAACATTTGAGCATCTTCCAATTGCTGCGGGCTACAGTGGCTCTAATCAGGTCTCCCTCGAGCTTGCGTAGGCGCTTCCTGATCGCGCCCTGACTTCTGCCTCTAGCCTCTAGCCTCTACGGTATACTGGTATGGTGCACACAGATGAAGCCCTTCCTCCTCCAACGCCCTGGATGGCGACCAATGCTGGATAACCCGATGCTGCTTGAACAAGTTACCACCTAACCAGAAGTCTGCCCAGGCGCGAGGTTCTGCCGCCTGCGCCGGCCGGCCCTGCGGGCGACTTGGTGTAATATCTGGCATCTGCGGCCAAAAATGGTCAACGACAGGTTTGGTGGGTTTGCCAAGCTGCGGTCGCTTCGCTCCGGCTGTCTCATATAGCGCTAGAATCGCTTTCGATCCGGCGGAACCATACAGGAAGCGGAAAACCCTTGACTTCATGCACTCGACAGTCGACTGCAGCCTGCAGCCTGCAGCCTGCAGGGCTCCAGCTGAGCCTGCATGAGGGGCGCACATGAGGACGTCGCCACGAACTTCAACGTCAAGTTCAGCCTTCAAGCAAAGAGGGCGGCATTGTGATCTGCATTTCCATCAGTAGGATTTTGAATCTGAAGTGGTGCAAACGCGGTCAGCATTCCAACCTAGAATCAGGTGCGCTGGTGCACGCATTACGCGCGCATGTTTACAAACCTCTGTCGCAAATCTCTCTCTGTATTCTCTAGGAAATCTATGGCTGAAGGCATCACCATCGTCTCAGAGATGGACCTGGCAGTGGTCCAAGAAGAGGAGAAGGCAATTGACGTGGGCGGGACAGTGCTTGAAAAGGTCTCTGTTGAAATGCTGCATGAGAAAGTCTCTTTGGAGACGCCCACGCAGACCCCAGAGAAGCAACCGGAGGCTGGTGTAGCTGCAGCTGCTGCATTTGGATCACCCGCTGGTAGGTTTGCATTGCACATTGTGCTCGGTGACACGTGGCAGAAGTACATTGTTGGCAATTTTAGCCGTTTGACATCGCGCATGCCTTCAACGCTTGCTTGACAAAAACTTTTGCACTGACTGCTAGTATGTCCAACAGCATTTTTGTCATACCACCTCTTCAACGAGCCTTTGATCATGTGGAGTCAAGGTCTTCAAACCACTGCTAACAATTTCAATCACCAAACTTCTTTGTCCATTTGCATTTCATCCCTCTCGCTCTAAATAGAAAGAGAGCTGGCCAGGAACTTTTAATCAGCCATCTGTCCACTGCATCGTTTCGCCCTCAACCTTAGATGTGGAGCGCAGCTGAGAATCAAGGGGTGTTGGGAGAAGCATGGGAGCGTGGGAGAAGAACAGATAATGCAGAATCCCGTGACCACGAGCAGATCCATCCTTTCAGCACTGTAAACTGACCCTTGACCAGCTTTGCTTAACCAAGACATTGATGAGATTTCAAATGAGATTCACATTGCATGGTGAACTTGGTTTTCTGCCAGGTACTAGTGAGCAGGATCATTTGATGGCCTTGGCCAAACAGGCTGGCTACTCCGATGGCGTCCCCCGTGACTCCCGGGGCGAGGGGCCACCTTTTGCACCCCAAGGTTAGTAACTGCCACATGCGTGATGATCTGCAGGCAATGCTGCGGAGTCAACTGAGTGTTACACGACAGCTGCTCTTCTTGCTTTGTCACAGGATGAAGCAGAGTTGATGCCCGGCCACCTGAACGATGAAAAGCCGTGCTATTTCTGTGGAGTTTGCTAGTGGCAGTGGCCCCAATCTATCAGGAGGTTTGCCACAAGCAGCAGTCATGTACAGGATATGGTTGACCTTTGTTGATCAGATGCCTCGACAAAGGATTTCTTGTTGCAGGGTGGGGCTGGAGGGTGGGACCCAGGGCCAGGATCAGCGGCAAGGGCAGTTACGTGGACAGGTAGGTCCCCTGGGGAAGAACGGTTCAAATCTGTGTTCGAAGCTAGCTCTGGTGTCCCTCTTGAGGTTACAGATTATCTTGTTTGCATTTTAGGTTGGGATATAGATTTCAATTTGCCGTTTGGCTTTCAGCTTTACTGTCTGGTTTGAGTCCCACCATCGGCACATGAAAGAGAAGAGCGACATGGACCAACAATTAACCAATTATGTAACTGGGGCTTTGAGTCCGTCAATGTCATGCACCTTTCATTTTCTGACATACTATGTTGTCTTTCAGCCAGGAATAACTGAACGTACTTACGTCCATAACCGGTCCTGCTGCCATGCAGCTTCCGGAAGCACCCTGACGCCCCGGAGTTTGGCTCTAAAAAGGCGGTCGGAGCGTTTCTCAGGGACGTGCTGCTCCTGCCGGCAGAGCAAGTGGAGGAGATCCAGAACTCATATGAGTGGCACATCCCTGCAAGCTCAGGTGACGAGACCCTCTAGCATGGAAGTGCTGTGAACTGGCCCAGATTGAGCGGACAGTTTTGGCATCTCAATTGCCTGCAATCTCTATTGCCTCTACAATTCACATACAATACATAAAAGGTACACACACCCGTGAGATTGACAGGAGATGATCAATGGAACCAGAAGGAAGCATCATTCGTGACTCACAAAGAGCTTCCCTACTCCGGAGCTTGATTATTGGAAATGTCACGCTGTGGTAATACGCTTCTGTACTACAAAACTTTGCTGTGAGCCTGTGCACGTCAAGAAACAACAATGCTCTGCTTCTGCAGAGGAAATCCGGAAGGACCTTGACATAACGGGCAAAGCCTCAGGAAGCCGCGGCAAGCGCAAGAGCTCGGCGCTTGCGTCTCCACAAACCGGCTCTGCAAAGAAGAGGGACCCGTCTGCCGACTCGGATGGTGAGCTATTGTCTTTACTTCACAGCAGTTATCAGCGTACATAGCCTGCTTCGGGGCTTTCTCTGAAGAAGGCATGCACCGTGAAAGGTGATTATTGCATCCAGCGTGGAGACAAAGAAGTGTTGCCTGGCTTTTGCAAAGCCGCCTCTAGGCTTGCCCAACGATAGGCAGTCTGGGAGGATGTGCCACTTGCCGTGAAAGAAGATGCTGTATTCATATGCAGTACCTCGTGCCTCGTCTCGACCCATTACGTTTAAGAAAGCGAATCGCAAGGGTCGCTCAGCTGATTGATTTACTGTAGTCTGGGCTCTTCTGAGTTTGGCCTTGCTTTGCGCTCTCGTCGCGCAGTTGCTGTGTCAAAAATCAAAATCTGCTGGAATGATGCTGGTCAGCATCTTTGCATGACTTTCAGTGCTTGTATATGCAGTGAAAATTGTGGAGCCTGCTGAAGCAGAGCAAGGTGAGCTCCTTTCGTCGATCCGTTACATAGGAGATTCTTTCCTTGTGGATAACCAACTTTGCCTTACCGAGAAAGTGTCGCAGTAGCTTTGCTGACTGCTGAGCGTGATGCATAAGCGAGCCGCATTCGAGGCGGATGGATTTTGGATCTTCCGTCTTTGTAAGCGCCATTTCGATAGCACGGATGCCCGCTCTGTCCCGCTCCTTCGGAGGATCTGTCAAGACAAAATCTTCGTGAGCACGATTTCCTCGGGTTTGTTGCTCAGCGTATGGCTATTTTTTCAAGCTCTGTTGAAGGAGTTCTCGACCACCTTGTGTTTACCCGGTTTGTACGTTATCTTGTTAGCAGTTGGAGCTCGCTTTTCGATCTCCTCCGTCTACTTCTGCCTTTGGTACTCCTCCGACTACAACAAACGTGTACTTGAGAGTTTTCCTGATGCCTTTCCGCTCATTGGCGAGTCAGCGGACCTGGTTTGCAGCGCCATCGTTTTCTAGCCCACGGTTGGTCTGGCCTGAAAGCAACGCAAGTCACGGTCGTGTTCAGATCCGCCACCTCCTTTTGGTGCAGCTCCCGACGACCTCCCCACCCTGGACGAAATCCTCGCCAACCCCGACAACTGGCCGTCCATCGCCAAGCGCATCCGGCGCATCGGACGGTCCTCCCCAGGCCACATGGCGTCCCTCGCGGAGGAAGCCAAGAAGCGGGACTTGGGCGACCTTCGGACCCAGCTGCTGGGCTTTTCGGACGCCCTGGTGTCCGACCGGGTCGCCACGCTGCCGCACGGGCTGGTGGCGCTCGTGGCGCTCGTCGTGACGGAGGGCAAGGTGGATGACGTGGAGAAGAAGAAGGTGACATTTTCATAATCCGGAGCCTGTCCTTTCCTCAGAGCCTTCTTGTCTCAAACCTTCTCGTGTGTCCGGGTCTCAGAAGACTGACTTGCATAACAAATTGAGATGGCTTACACGTCTTGTAGTGTGACTGTGAATCAAGGGTCCGATTTCCGAGAGTGTTTGCTCTTTCTGATGGAGGGCGGGTGGATGACGTGCACAAGAAGAAGGACAAGTTCTGTACAAGAGTGCTTTTGTTTAGACATGCAGAAACACAAGGTAGGAGTCAGGCTTTCTCACGGGCGAGATTGTCAGTATGACTCGAAGCTTTTGCTTAAGGGCAAAAGGTCGATGAACGTTTCTTCTGACACACTCATTACTTTTCTTGATATGAGGCTGTTTTGCTGCTCAGAGCGGCTTTCAACGCTCCTTGTTTCTGCAGATGAAGATTGCGGACCTGGCCGCTGCAATCAGGGGCGAGGTCCAGCCAAAGGGTGAGCGCCCCCATACTCACTCGTGTCGATCTTGTGCAAAGCTTAGCTTTTTGGAGTAGAGGGGAGGACAGCGGGTTCCAAGTCCAGATTGAAGCCGCTCTTTTGCTGTTTACCCGACCTCATAACGCCTTTAGAGTAGGGAGAGAGGGACTAAGCTCGCTTTCTCTGAGGATATCAAACGAGTCAAACTTTCTGCTGAGCTTTCGCTTAGAGGACACTTTGTAACCGCCGTCTTAGACGTGACGTTGCTCGCATACGCTTTGGTGCACAATCTTCCATACTCATCTGTGTTGTTGGTTCGGATTCACCGCAAAGAATCATTGCAAATGATTGAAGTGCGTTGACAGCAAAGCCTCCGAGGGATTTGCATCGCAATGGAAAGAAGTAACTCCTTCCCGTAGGGAAAGGGGGAAAGATACCAAAGAAAAACAGGGAGAAAAACAGTCCGCATGTTGAAAAAGGCCACTGGTCCGCAGGAACTCAGCGTGCTGATGCCGTGATCCCTACAGCTCAAATTAACAGCATGTTCATCGTGTGTAGCAAACGGAAAGGGGACCGACCTTTCTCCAGCTGCTGAGGGAGGTAAAGGGCAGCGGAAACGGAAGTCGTCTTTCAGCAGCCCGAAGGTACGACGCTTTGCATTGCTGTGCAGTCGCTTGATGTGGGTCCACAAGCGTTGTCAACACCTCAAAGCAATGCGGCTCTGCGCAGGAACGTCCAATAGGTGTCGGTGACATCACAGGTTCTAAAACTGTTTTTGACAACCACTACGTGTGATTGCAAACGTCACAAATCTTGTGGGGACGAAGTTGACGACATCCGGAGGACTCCTCGTAACATGCAACCATAACCCTTGCTCTTGATTCTGCGCACCAGTTAGACCGGTGGTTCTTTGCGGGCCTTACGTCTCAAAAAGGTTGCTTGCTAATCAAGTGGCGATGTCCGAAGTAACAACGCTTTTGTCGTCTTCTGTAGGCTGCGAAGGGCGACGTCGAGAAGGGCAAAGGTACGCCACGCCTCGAAAGTGAGTTGTTGTGCTGAGTTCTCGCTGCAGCGATGTTTGAAGCACCTTCGCCGTCTCCATTAGCCCCTGCCGGTGCAATTCTTCCTTCGCACCCGTTTCTAGAACTGGGATTCTTGCTTTGGCTCGCAGACAAATGTCCCGAGCCGGGCAGAGGTAGCTGCATAAGTACTCCCCAAGATTGTCGGATATGGCCCGTCTCTCTCTTGTCAATCAGGCTGTTTCACCCACGTTGTTTTAAGATCGATTTCAAAACGACCTTTCCGCAAATCATTCTGCTGATATGCTCTACCGCAAAGTCCCTTGATCAGCGTATGAACGCGAAATGCCTGGCAATCATCCAAACCCCCACTTGTAAGAGGCGCACAAGGAAGGCTGGAAAGAGGCTGCGGCATGTCGCACTCACTTTTTAAGTCCCTACCCTGCACAACTCTGCTCCGCCATTGCCGCTCACACGTGTCCTGTCCTTTGCCAGAGCAATTGGACAACAATGGAAGCTAGCAGAAGTCCGCTTTGCCACAGTTTCAACGAAACGCACACGGAAGAGCGTCGAGGAGGTTTGGCGAAGACCCAGGAAGCTGCACAGACGATGAAGTCCACTTTGGATCTGAAACCCTCGGCGAGAATGATGGGGACTCTTGTTGTCTGCCTACTTCAAACGGCTGCTCACCGAGTGGCTGAGGTTCCACGGAATCGCGCTTTGTTTATAGGTGCAACGAAACGCACACGGAAGGGCGTCGAGGAGGCCGCAGCAAAGACCGAGGAAGCTGCGCAGACGATGAAGTCGATCCTGGAGCTGAAGCCGTCCGTGTCCGCGCTGTCGGTCACGGTGGACGAGGACGAGCCGTCGGAAGAGGAGGTCGAGCAGGCGGTGAGTTGCCCCGGGGGATTGGCAAGTCTGCCCCGGTCGTGGTGTTGGGGTTGTGTAGTGTGTAGAGACGAACGCACGTAGCGCGACATTTGTTCATATTACGTTGGACTGTTTAGTAGAACAAGATTCAAAGTATGCAGTCACTGGCTTCTGCATCACACATCGTGCAGCGCAGTTGCAGATCTGGTTTCTTTTCACCACTTCCGTTTGCCCATTGGCAAAGTTGATGATGGGATTGTACGGCCTGTGAAGTCAAAGGACGTCCACCTATGTCTGCAATCGGCGAGCTGACTTCCCGGCACTCGATGGCGTGTGCAAGACGTCTTCCACAAGCAAGGGCCGTCGGAATAGTTTTTTCCACCACCGCAAGTCAATTGCGGTATCTAATCTACGCACTTTTCTCTGCAGTGGGCCTCGGCTGGTTCCGTGCTTCCGTCCCTTCCGGCTGATGATGCACCGGAACTGCCAATCGCAGCTCCAGGGACTCCCGCCGCAGCGGAGCAGGCCGCAGGTTAGTCAGCCGTTCCTGTTTCCAGTCGTGCCTTTGAGTCAGCCATGCATTTGGGATAGGCATTCCTTTGGTTAGTCGTGCGTTTGGGATACTACTTTTGAGGAAGTCATGCGCTTTTGGGTTAGTCATGCCTTTCGATGCCGGGTGGTCAACAAGCGAGCACGATCTGAAGCAGTCTTTTGTATCTGCAGGCACTCAAGTGGTGCCGGTCGACGAAACTCCGGGGCCCTCCACAGCACAAGTAAGCAGTTTCATGTCGTTTTTGCAAAGGGTGCTGCCGTGGAAGCTTCACGCCGTCATTTCTTCGCCAGACTCGCCATATGACGATTAGCTGGTGCTCTTTAGAACTCACAGGCTGAGCTGTGACGAAATCCTAGGAGACGTCTCAGTACCAACCTTCTCGCTTTGTCGAAGTTTGCAAGGACTCAGAACCCGCACGGACGGTCTCCCAAATGTTTTTGCGACCGAGCCTGCTCGCAAACACCTAAATTCAAGGACTCCGTGGCATGTACCTCAGAAGGCAGAAACTGCGGAAATCAGCTCGAAATCCCGTTTCAACCGAGAGCGTAGGGCACTCCGAGATTGGTCGGATGCAGCATGACGAGTGCCCCTCAAACCCTGGTCGGATCGTTAGAGTCTACGTCCCAGTTGAGGTTGTTCGGAATCATTTTCTTGGAGCACGGTCGCCGCAAATCGATTTTAGGACTGCGACTCCAAAAATGCTCTCGACCGCTCGTAAAGGGTCTCCAAAGTCGGATACTCACTGCGACTGGAAGAATGTTGTCTGTCTCCTCGGGAAGGATTTTCCAAACACTGATAAGTTATGCACTTTCCTACGCAGGCGGTCGCCCCCGCGGGCCCCGTCACGGTGCAGGACCTGGAGATCCTGGAGTACAAGCGCAAGCTGCACAAGCTGGAGCGGATCAAGCGCGAGTGGGTCGACGCCTTCGACGAGAAGCTCGCCATCTACAGGTCAGCCGCCGACTCGCAAGAAATCAGTCTCAAGAAATCAGTCTCAAGAAATCAGTCTCAACAAATCAGTCTCCAGCCCATGAAGAAATCTCCAGGCAAAGGTGCCAAACCACCAATAGCAATCACCCATGCCCATCCTCTCAAAAATCCCGCCATCTCACCTCCGGTGCAGGGTTCACGGGGGAGCTCCAGCGGATTCCAAGGCCCAGATTGTATCTTAAGCGTGCCTCCTGCTCATCTTTGCATCTTTGAGACATGTGAAGCTTTTCGCCGTACCATCTGCGGTGCAGGCCGACAAGTAAGCTTTAGCTGCGCCAAAAGCCAGTTCATCAAGGCTGTCCCTGAGTACTTATTCTGCCGAACCTCTAAAAGTTCCTGCTGTCCTCTCTCTGGTACAGGGCTCACAAGGAAGCTCTAGCTGGTGCCAGACCTTCGACCGGGAAGAGGGCTATCTTCGGATCCTCATGAACCTCTGAAACCGTTCAAAATCCTGGCTCTACTATCTGGATTGCCAGTCCCTCGGTGAAGCTCTAGCTGGTGCCAAGCTCCAAAAAACGGAAAAACGACTGCCTCCAGCTACCACTACAACTTTGAGACCTCTAAAAGTTCCTGCTTTCTGTCTTGTGGTGCAGGGCCCACAAGGAAGCTCTAGAGCACCTGGTGGCCCGGCGCAAAGAGGAGCAGGAGGCGCAGCGCAAGAAGATCGAGGAGGAAAAGACGAAGCTGCAGCAAGCGTACGAGACGGCGGTGCGCGACATCCAGGCGCTCGAAGGTCGGACCGCCCCCTCCGCTCGCCCTTCTCTAGTTCTGCTCGGCCTCTTTACTTTAGATCTGCAGTCTCTCATGTAGCCCCTTCGCTCGCCCTTCTCTAGTTCTGCTCGGCCTCTCTTCTTTAGATCTGCAGTCTTTCATGTAGGGAAGCTTGAGCACCAACGCTCGGTTGTGCTTTGCAACGAACTTGGTGCTGTGGCCCGGGAGGAGGAAACTTCTGCTCTGATGTGCTCATTGAAGCGGGGTGTTTCCGCTAGCTCGAGTTGCCTTGCTTTGCCACTTGTCAGGCGGGGGTGTTGACGTCGGTCAGAACGTTCTTTCTCGCAACCAGTGGCTAATCACTAGAGTCGCTCGTCTCTAATAGTCGGGCCGCTCTATACACAGCGCAGCGCAAAGCTGGACGCCCTGACGACTAGGAGAGAAGACCTATGACGTCACCAAATTCATGACAAACTTTGATAACCAAAGCTTGAGGAAGCGGAGATTTGAGTCTTGAGATTGTCTCCACAGACCTGTTTGCCCTCTCCTTGCAGCCGAGGAGCTGCCAGATCCGGGTCGCCGTGGGAGGCGTCGTTTGTTTGCGCAGTGCAGAGGGCGCGGGAATCTAATAGAGAGTCAATAGTTATCTATAATTCATCAATTTTGAGTTTCGACGCTTGATTTTGCCTCCGCAGCTCTGATTCCCCTCCCCGACACTGCGGCCGAGGAGCTGGCCAAGCCCAAGTCGCCATGAGAGGCGTCCTTCGGCCGCCCGGTACAAATTTTGCAAGAATAAGGTAGTCAGTAGTTTCTAAGAACTCTCTACTTTGAGTCTTGACCCTTTCTTTCCCTCTGCAGCGCTGATCGGGCTCCCCAACCCTGCGGCCGACGAGCTGGCCAAGCCCAGGTCGCCTCGGAAATGAGACACTGCAAAGGGGGTTTCAATGGGGTTTGAATGAAATCGAGACCTGAACTTCAAAAGACCCGATTCCCTCTAAATCTGGACTGAGCTCATAGCCGCTCTCTTCTTTTTGCAGCCCTGATCGGCATTCCCGACACTGCGGCTGAAGAGCTGGCTAAGCCCAAGTCCCCGTGGGAGACGTCGTTCGGCGGCACGGTGCAGACGGCGCGCGAGGCGAAGCAGGCCGAGTGGCAGGACTCCCTGCGCGAGCTGAACGAGGCGCGCAGAATGAACGTGGAGCAGCTGAAGCGCAAGGTGGAGGTGTACGTCAAGCTGGGGCGCAAGATCCCGGAGGACCAGATCCAAGGTGAGCCTGCAAAATTTTGAGAAGTTTTTAGTCGTAAGAAGTGGGAGTTTGGTGGCCATTGGTTCTCCGCAGAGGGTCTACATCGAGCTTGGGCGCAAGACTTCCGAGGACCAGATTCGAGGTGAGCCTGCAGAGTTTTGAGAAATTGTGAGAACTAAGAGTTTGGAGGCCATTGGTTCTCCGCAGAGGGTCTGCATCAACCTCGGGCGCAATCCCGAGGGCCAGATCCAAGGTGAGCCGACAAGGTAATGGAACAGAGAAGGAAGTTTTTCAATCCTAAAGACTGACGTTCTGGTGGCCAAGGGTTCTCGACAGCGGGTCTACGTGAAGCTGCGGCGCAAGGTCGACCATATTCAAGGTGAGCTTGTACAGTATCTCAAGGTGGGGCTGCTGACTGAGCTCGGCCTTTTCTTCTCATTTCTGTCAGTAGCACGAAACCTTCGAAGTAAAGTCGAAATTGAAGGTCGAGGTCTACGTCAAGCTGGGGCGCATGGTGTTCGAAAATCAGATCCAAGTGAGTGGTGATTTAAACCAGAGGTTGCAGGTCTCTTTCAAATTTGGACTGAATGTGGCGCCAGGCGGAAACGCAGCGGTTGGGAGGTTTGAGGAGCTGAGCAAAACCCTGAAAACACAGTATCCTCTACATCCAAATATCAATAAGAACTACCAGGTCAAATGGCCTTCACCAACAAAGTGCAGCGGCACCAAGTTTCAGAGGGTCAGAAGGGAGCAAATTCCCGTATGGTCTGACTTATCTGTGACGTTGAAGCGCTGAAGCACGAAGTCCAAACCCGTGATGTATATGTGCAGCCGAGCGTGAGAAGAGCGGCAAGGAGTTTGAGGACCTGAGCAAGTGCCTGGAGGAGCAGAAGGGGCTGATGGAGGCGGAACTAGAGCGGGTCAACCAGATGGAGGCCGAGGCCCGCAAGGCGTTCGTCAACTACAAGGCCCAGGCGAATCGCGTGGAGAAGGAGAAGAGCAAGCTGCAGCAGTTGCTGAAACAGGGGGTCGTGTAGGCGGGAATTGGGAGGGGGGGAGCAGAAGAGGCTGAAGTAGGGGGTCGTGTAGGCAGGGAATCTTAGGATGGACGGGAGATGTCATATCCAACGAAACGCTTCGTGTCTGCTTTTGAGTAAAAGTGGGAAGAATGGTAGGGAACCGCATGGCTGTGAGTTTAGGCGTGCATATAAGATGGGGCTTTGGGATCGTATGGCCCGGCAACTTGGGGCAGCATGGATCGGTTTCGAATATGTCAAATTGGACCGGACCGTCTAAGTCCGATGAATTTGTGTGTAGCAATTTGAGAGCCTGGTTGACCTTCTGCGCAAAAACTGCCAAGTCAGCGGAACTTCAAAAAGTAAAGAGCAACGAAGAGTCGAAGTTTTAGCAAAAAGCCTAGCTAAAGTATGACTTACAAACAAAGTCTGCAAGGAAGTCTGGACCTTCAAGCTCCGGTTTAACTCCTGTCTGAGGCCGGATCATTACCAAAAAAATTCTGCCACAGTGACCTTGATCTGTTAGTTGGTTCGCCGTCATGACGGTTGCGTGGGCGACTGGACAGCCTGGAGTACCTAGAGGTAATCCGCATGGCACCGTCACAATCTGATCCATGCATGCCGCGCGCTCTCTTCAAAGATCGATTGATGCAATTGTTTTTGACGTTTAAAAGCAACGTAAGTCATCCGATCACAATCCTGCATGGCACCGTCGAGAAGGGCTCACCAAATATGCAGTGACTCCCAAAATCTGGCTTGCATTCTAACGTAGTGATGCATCAAGGCTAGCAACTACGTTACACTGGCGCGGAGATGATCTTCCGAATCAAAAAGACAGTGACGGGCGGGCCCCACATGCACGATGGCATGCATGATCGAGTATTGTACATGTGTTCGACATATTGTACTTGATTCTCACGTGCATGCACTTGCTTGGATGGGGCTCAGTCACGGCGCTACATTGGGCCCGCACACTGGTTTGGAGCTGCCGCTTCTATCAATCGATCTGCCTGTACGGAATGATGCTAAAGACTCACTTGAAGACCTAATGTCACACCGTCGCATATAGTTGATCTCTGCCCGTCTGCAATCGATCGCCTACTGATGCAAACCCGGCCGGCTGGCCGGAATGATTCCGCCCCGGTTCCATTTTACTCATGGGCTTGCGTGCCATGCCGATGCGGCCAGTATGAGCTCTTGCATTTAGATATGATCAGTCGAAAGCGCCCCCTACTGCCGTCTGCGCCGCGAATACCATCTTGATGTCGTCATTCCGGAAGCGGAACGAGCGGAGCACGTTATAGGCGTCCCGGGGCAGGGTCCATTCGAGCACCATCTGGATGCTCTCTCCGGCCAGGCTTCCGCTCTGGGGGCCGGAACCGCCCTAAGAACCAAAAGGACATCGCTTATCAGCGGACTCAAGAACAAGAATTCCAGCGATTAGGTAGGCAGCAAGATTAAGGGGTGGAACCGTTGATGTCAGCCCGAAGCTCAAAACCTTTCTTGAATCAGAGGCCAGCTGATTGTTGCCAACTGGCCGAGAACGGTGATCAACACGGTCAAGAAAACGGTCAGCATTCCAAGCTGTATTAAAAGCCCCGTAAGGTGCGCTTTCCTCTCTCGCTTCGAAGAGATACTGATCGTGAGACTCACAGTCAAGCTGGAGTATTTTTGGACTGTTTTCGATGAAACTACGACTTCAACAGACCACGGTCAATCAGCCACTCATGGCCGTGAACAACATCGACTTCCCACTTCAGCAAGGAAACTTATCTTGTCGACGAAGTGGAAAGTCTCTCTGCCAAGAACCGTGAAACTATTTCCTGGACTGATCTGCAGATCCAGCTGGAACTAAAGAGTCCTCGCTTGTAGAGCAAATGCTCTGAAAAAGTGCTGCAAACATTCTTTTGGGCCCGTCGCAACATCGCCATAATGACCGTAATGAAGACAAGGACTGTCTCAGGAAACGGTCTTTCACGGTTCACCTCAGCAAAGCGCCACTACTACGTTTCAAATAACTTCCCACCTAGGTGAATTCTGCCGCTTCACCACTTTCCTCAATCCATGCCAGAAAGGAGGCCCCGTTTTACCCGACACCTCCGCAGTAACCCAACGATCCTCACCTTCGCCCCGGCAGCCCCCACGTCTGCAAGGCCTTTCGCCGCCTGGTGCATCGCCCCCCCATTGCAGCTCAACTCCTGACTCCGGCTCAGAAGCTCGTGCGCGTTCTCTCCGAGCAGCGACCCGGTTCTAGAACCCGCCCCACGGGGGCACTCCATTGTGACGAGGTTCCGTTTGAGCAGTGCGGTGGCGGTGTGGCAGTGCGACTGGAGGCTGCCGAAGGCCATTCAAGAAAGGGATCCCCGGCGCTGGGACCAATTAACAGAAATGGGTGCAGACTTGATTCTTAAGTGGGGTGGTTGTGCTTGTTGTGGGGGTTCTGACGTCATAATGCTGCTTTGAGCCACGAGAAGGTTGGAATGCGATAAAGCGTTCGGATGCAGTTTCGACGGCCACAAGGAAACGCAGGTCTCGGCCCGGTGAAACGAATCTTTTCCTTGGCGCGTGCTGCTGAGAAAAGCTAGTTATATGCGAGAGAACAGCAAATGGAAAAGGACAACTTTATTGATGCTAGACGTTTAGCTGGTGGATATGTTGCTAGGATCAGACCGCTCTCACGGCGCTTGCTCTGGGGTTCAAGCGTCCACGCTTGACAACGTCTCGCAGGCCGCGCCGCTAAGCTTGGAGCAGCCGATTGGCGTCGTTGCGTCTTCGAGTTTACACTTCCTTCGTGGGAAGGACTTGTATGTATGGCGGTGCCGGTCCTTGAGCATCGCGAGGTGTCACTACTAGCTCGAGCATCGCAGAGTTTTTGATGATGCAGATTATCGTCTTGGTATAGATTGCTTTGGTGAGAAAGCCATGCACTGCACATACTACTAAGTACCATTTCTCAACACATCCACAATCGCTTTCAATGCACTCTTCAGATGCGCAGCGCTTGATGTTCTAGCCAGGGGTTCGGAAGCTTGCATTGGGTCAAACAGCGTTACAGTGGATGCGTTCGAAGTCAAAGAGGTCAACACGGCCGAAAAGAAACTTTGGAACTTGCCGCAACATGATGCCATATGCAATGCATCTACACATTGCAAAGCGAGATCCTCAGATTCGCAGTCAACACGGTCGCGTATATGTTCTGAGATTGATCGACCATGGATTCAGGGCCACGTAACGAGCACATCTCAGGATTTTGTCGGAAGCAGGATTTTGCTTCAAAGCCCTTTCGAAGCCTCATCCGAGCCTCCTGATTGGTCGTACTAATCAGCATACAAGCTTTGTGATCAATCTGCTTGATCCGTACTGCTGACAGTGCTGTTAGGAACGGAAGCTGTTGAAAGACTCACATACCCAGCCGACACCAGGCTGGAGTACTATGCCAAGTTCGGATAGAATACCTACTGAGAGTTTTGTCCTTGATGTTTGGTAATATACAAGGTTGTCCTCATGACATGGATCATAATGTCTGAGTACGCGTACCACAGTAGTACTAGGTATAGGTATGGTGTAGACCTGGGTACTCCATGCGTGCCGCTGGCTTTCTGGTTCACATGACATCGCAAGAGCCAATATCGGACGATTCGCAAACCAGTTATTCCGATCCGACGGCTGGCGAATGACATGTGGTACACGTGGTAACCCTGTGGCCAAAAAGCGCACTCCCTCTTGATCGATCAGAGTCTTGACGTCGCAGTCGCCCTGACATTTGACTAGCACAACTCATGAGGCCACTTGGCACTTTCATTTCTGCGAGGATGGGCTAGAGCCTAGCTAGCTCGTGCTCTGGGTTCAACTCAATCATCAATGATAAAGGTAGGTACGTAAAGCAAGCGAGTTTGATGTCAGTCTTCAAACAAATTGCTTCTACCGTACATACTTAGCTCACCCAGTTGGCCGCACGTCTTGTTGCATAGTAAAAGGCAGCAGCATTTGCACATAGTCCAAAAAGTTGGTGCCAACAGATTCAAGGTTCATCTGCGCTGCTGAGCGGGATCTCGAAGTACTGACTCTCAGCATTCGTTCCAGAGACATTCACTGCAGCTCGTTCTTACCAGTCAGATTGGGCGACTTTGGTACTAGTAGCGAGCTCCGAGAGATCGTTCAAAGAAGAGAGTTTCTGACTCCGGTTCTGCATTTGGTCCAACGACTGAAAATAAGCTCCTGGAAGGTGGTCAAGGGCGAGCTCTTGCTGACATCAGCAACTGGAAATGGACACGATCAGGACCGAGCTGCTGAAGCAGTGGGGTATAAGTCCTGGCGTGGATGAGAACCTCCTGGTTCCGCATATTGCAGCGGAAAGGGGCGATCTAAACCTTTTCAAGGAGGCGCTGAAAGTTGGTCTGGACCCAAACCAGAAGGTTAGTCAAGTTACCACCACATTTGCAAGTGCCTTTGATAAGTGGTTGACCTATGTTATTTCTGAGGTCCCATGTGCACATGTGCAACTATTCAAAACCCCGTTGTGACCTTTCAACTAGGATCTGTCGTCTGCATTTGCTACTTTGACCTTCTCTCACCTGGATCTAAAGTGCGCTTCCTACTAAAGCGTTATTTGTATAAGAGCTCCGAGCAATGTTGTGAACTCTCTTCTCTCTTGTAAGTTCTTTCTGCGCATTGGCAGAAGGAGAAAGCCGATGCTACTCGGAATGTTGGAAAGAAGGAGGAGGTCCCAGTGATGAAAGAAAGTTATCGCTTAGATCTGTCTGATGGCTTAGGTGGGGTCGTCACCTTCCGGGACAACTCCAGAAAATGTTGGATCGTCGTCAAACTTAAGTTAGATGCGGAAAGTCTTACCACGGGCTTTGAGCTGTTTGAATTTCACCAGAAAGACACAGGCAGCCCCAAGAAGGGGAGGGCTGGAATGGCATTCAAGATGGTCGTCTGGCAGTAGAGAGGTCAAGACCTGAGCCGCTGTGGGGTGACATGGATTGGAAACTCATTCTTTGTCCGAGTTCCGCCGAAGGGTCAAACCCTAATTCAAGCAAACCCTTATTCTGAAGAGCGCACTCTATTACAATGTTCATGGCCAACAAAAGAGGACATAAGTTCAACACGGTTGAAGATGTGTGAAATGTTGAGCCCTCCAAACATTCTATGACGTTGTACTCATCCCACCCTCTCTACTGAAATACACATTGGCTGGTTGGGCTTTGGTTGATCGACGCACATAAGCAAAAGTCCTCTCTTTTCTGCACTTCACTCATCTGACCAAGGGCCTCTGACAAGAGGCAGAAAGACAAACTCCTAGTGGGCACAGACCAAGCGAGGGTCTTCGGAACTCGAAGTATGTTCAAGCCCCGGAAAAAAAATCCAACATTTGACTCTAAATGCAATCGTTAGAGATGTACTGTGTGCCTCTAAAATGCTAGCTCCAACCAGAGTGTTCACACTGGGGCTCCTTCACACTCGCAGGATGGAGAACGAGGCACGTTGCCGCTGCATTGGGCAGTCCAAAAGCTCAGCTTTGAGGTAGCTGAGTACATTCTGAAGGAGAAGATCAACGACCCAAACTGCAGAAACTTTGAGGGGAATACGCCGCTGCATTACGCGACTGTGAAGGGGAGCAAACGGATGAGCCAGCTGTTGGTAGAGCACGGAGCGGAAGTGAACGCAGTGAACGATGTGAGTGGATCCTTCCTGGGCCTTTGTCTTCGAAGATTATGCAGTCACATATTGGCGCCAGCGGTTTTTGTGGAGAATTTGTGGCGTCAGCTTTCCACTTGCGCAATGCAAGCACGTTCTTTTGCGGTGAAGTCCAACGAGGTACAAGGTTCGGCCACGTCTTTGAGGGAGTGTTAAGTATCTTTTTCGCACAAACAAGATGCGCAAGGTGAAAAGTGGGACAATCAGGTCGCCAGGCCGAGACAAACTTCTTGCCTGAATACGGCGGAAACCTTGTTTGTTGAACCGCTGCTGCTCGAACAGATGGAAGGAGAACAGGGACTCCCGGTGGACTCCCTGGTTATTCCCTTCAACCAAAACCCATGTGATTGACGGTCAAGTTTGGTGGTTTCATTCAACCTAGACCGCCGAACGTAGAGGGTTATACTCAGGAGGGATCACTAATTTCGGCTCGGAATCCATGCTCTCCCTCCATCCGTTTTGCCAGTATGATGAGTATCTGGGGCTTTCAGTGGATGCTAGTGCTGCGTGGCAAACATTCCACAGGTCTTAGCCCTGCCCCCCGGCAGAGCTGGCAGTCCCCGTAGATATTCTGGTGTTAAATCTCTGCGGCCAGTTCTACGGTCCGTAAACTATACGTAATCCAAAGTGTCGCTCTCCTAGTTGCTCCTTGCCATTCTTACTCTTTCACGCAACTGTCAATCCCACTGGCTTAAAAGCGCCTAAGAATGTGTCGCCGGGTCCCAAACGTCGATCTCTTACCTGCTCACGTCACCTCTCTCAACCCCTCACAGAGCCGGCAAATCCCGGTGTTCGGCGCCGTCTTTGAGCGATACGACCACGTCATCGAATACTTGGCCTCTCTCAGTGACCCCAAGTGCCACGCGTGCAAGAAAAAACGGTGCGCGATTCACCGAGCGGACCTCGACTTCACGGACGAGGTGAGGGGATCCCCCTGGGACGCTTGCTGGCTGTCTCGAGGGGTCAGGGTTCTGGGCTTATACTTCACGGTTCCAGAACGCGAGGTTGTGGAACGTTAGGCTTGGAAGAGCCGACGGCAGACTTCAAAGGACGAGGGGAGTGGTCGCTTGGAATTGCTTTGATGGGCCTCTTTATCCGTTTTGGGATTCAAGATTTGAAGGTTCTGGTATGGAAGTCTCACGCTTGGAAGATCAGACCTCGACTTCACGGACGAGGTGAGAAGCCGCCCGGAAGCTGCCTTTGGCCCCTTTAATGTTTGGGCTTTATTGTTTGACGTGTCGGTCTCGAGGTTGTCCAGTATCACGCTTGGAAGAGCGGACCTCGGCTTTCCGGACGAGGTGAGGGGTCGTCCGGAATGCTCTGCTGGGCCGATCTTTTATCTCCAGATTTTTGCTTTGACGATTTGGGTCTCGACTACCTATTCCGATTGGAAGAGCGGACCTCGGTTTCCAGACGAGGTGAGGGCTGCCTGGGAACGCTTCGCTCACCCTCTTTGGATTTTATTGTTGGGCGTCAAGGTACGAGAGTTCCGGTCTCAAGGTATCATGCTAAACTGAGCAGACCTCGTCTTTGGTGGACGATGTCAGAGGTCGAATCGGACCGCTTCGCTCTTGGCTCTTCAGCTTTCCAGGTTTTGATTTTGGGATCTATTGGGATGCCTATTGGGATCCTTGGCTGGAGCAGCCAATGAAGCGAACGTCGATTGGATCTCAAAACCTACATGAGGCACCTCAATTGCTTTGCGAGCCTCCGAAGATGCTGCAAATAGCGGAGGCGTAAGCGCTCCTGCTCTGAGGGAAATCTTGCAGAGCCGCACCTGCCCAGCGCTTGGTTGAGTACCCCTTAATGAAACGAGCGGGGTTGGAGAGATGATCACGCGTCCGTTTTTCAAGCATGCTCTACAGAAACCTCGCCTGTACGTTTTTGAGAAACGCTGGAAGTGCGGAAGGTTCCAGACTGCGTTACACTGACCTCTCACCATCCTTCACAGCATGTGACTTTGAGGTCCTGCACGTGAAGGATCATTCGCTGTTCCCTCCCTGAAACGGCGTCCTCCAAGTCACGGACTTTGAGAGCACCAGACGGAGGGGATACTAACTTGCTGTTTCTACGGCGCAGGACGGGAACACGGCGCTTCACTTGGCGGGGGTGCATCACTGGGGCAACGGGACGTACAATCTTCTCGTACAGCTAGGGGCCGACGAGACGATCAAAAACAAGGTGCGCCGTCGATCTTCACATGCTCGATATTTAGCTGCAACTTTACAAAGGATGAGGTTCTTTGGTTCAAGGCTGGCTGGGTATCGTAAGACCTTTGTCACGAGGATCGGAGAAATGTCAAGACAGGTGTGCTTAAACAGATGTGCAGAAGAAGGTTGAGGTAGGATTGCGCAACGGCGTTTGCGCAAACCTTGTGAGGGAGTACTTTGGGAAGCGCAATTGTGCTCCGAAAGGATCCGGTTTCCTTTCGTTCGTCTCGACCATGCGTTTCCCAGAGATTCAAGTTGGGTCCGTTACAGATGACACTTGATTTTTGAATTCGTTTGGTTCGTACGCTCTCCCTTTACTTGACAAGTCAGATTTTGTTGGTTCAACCACGCTTCAACAACGTGCGTGGCTCAATTGCCTACTCCCCCTCCGCATGGGGTCCTGAAAATTCTGCTTCGCCTCGTCTGCAGGAAGGGAAGTATCCGGTGCCGCCAATGAAGATTGTACATAAGACAGTGCGTGAAGTCCTGTTCGGTCTTGTCTCCGTTTTAGTGATTATTTTAGCTATTTGGTGGGGGGTAAATAAGCCGGCGGAAAAAGACACGGGTATTTATCATTGATTGTCTTTGCTTGTCGCCCATTCCACAATGGCCGAGGTTATGGGCACAAGTTCTTAGCGTAGTCGACATAGCCAAGACCTGTACATTAGTCGAGTCGGAAACACGGGCATGACCTTGAACAGGTGTTGCGGAGAATATTGAAAAGCGTTCAATATTGAGGACGACTGTTTAAGTGATCCTCGTTGGCCGGGATGGTTGTGCAAACAGGCTCAGTAGCTACGCCGCTTTTAATTCTGAACCGTCCATGTCGGGGTGCGGCTCATGGGTGTGATCATGATTAGTATGCCAGCTGGCCCGGCCGATGGGATCCGTGGGCATCGTCATGCAAGCACTGAGATGAACGCATGTGCAGTGGGACGTGTACGGTACAAGTGACCGGCCCTAGCTGAATAATTGGAGGATTGGAGGAGTGCTTGCGTGACACGCTGGCAACAGGAGTACAATTTTCCCTCATTTTCCCGTTTATCTTATATTTGGCTGGCCGCGCTGTCGGGCGTGGCTGGAGGCCTGTATCTTACCGCATGAAGGGTTTGAGGCTCCTGCGTTGCCCTTAAGCTGGTCCTATTTGCGCGGACGCATCATTGCGCGCATTCGCGCTTCCTGCCGCCTTGCATTGTGCCGTACTCGTCACGTGGCAGACGGCCAGATGGCAGATCCTGCTTGGCTGGTCGGACCGTCGGCAGGCCGGCCGCGTGGCACTTATCCAGCGATTCAGATTGACTGCTTCTAGTACGGCTGGTTTTGTTCATGTGGAAAGGTCCGATTGTAAGACTAATTAGATCCTAGCCTGCTCCCTGAACAAAGCGAGTTCCATTGATTACAATCTCAACGGTGAAGCGGCACAACCTCCTTGGGACGGGAATCCTGAGGAGAAAGGGAGCAGGCCCTTGAATCATTAAGGCGCTTTCCAGCTCCCTGATGCAGCCTACACGCCAGCTCACTGCCCTGGAGCCCTCCAAGAGATCCAGTTCTGCAGTTCATGGAGGACTGCAAGTACTTCCAGACGAGCTCCTTGCTCTTATTCTGAACAAACTTGCACTGCAGGACCCTTGTTCCTTGCTAGCAGTCTCCTGTGCATGTAAGACTATTCAATCTGCCGTATGTTCCAAACCTTCTCTGTGGAGGCAGGCCTTTTAAGGCTGCTTGCAGGAGCCACAAGACACCTCTCAAGCGGAGGAGCTTGAGACGGTAGTGAGGCGATTTGGCGGATATAAGCATCTGGTCCGAGCTCGTTGGGCAAGGGAACCGACCGTCAAGCTCTTTGAAGGTCAAGTTCCAGGGAAGAGACATGATGGCATGGCAACACTAGAGAGGATGGCTGCAAAGATAGCTTCCGAGAAAGATCAGAATGTCCACATCCTCAAAGGTGAAAGGATGATCAAGAGAAAGGAGCTCGAAGACCTAGCAGACGACTCTAGATCATCTCACATGTCTTTTTTGTTCCTGATACGAACGCTGGAGGGACGACTGCTCTTGTGGGGAACCGCCACAGAAGATGCACGGAATCTGGCCACGCTTCCGTGGGGCGCTCGTCGGGCGTCGCCTGCATATATGTGGTGTGGATCAGTTTTGGCAGCATATCTTCGGGCTTACAGCTGGTCCATAGCGACTCCGAAAAAGACAAAGAAATAGCCTTGAGGTTGACTTTGAGAGGGACGTATGCTGAAGGTGTGGCAAGCAAGCCGGCGATGTTCCTGGAGGCATGCGTTCTTTTTGGCGGAGGTTGTATGCTGGCGACAATCGACCCCTTGCTCACGTTTTGCAAGTCGACGATGCTAACAAGAAGGAGGGGGGTGCTTCTTTTTCCGCGTGGGAGCGCACCTTAGTTCCTACCAGAGAGCGTTTTATAGAAGAAGAGACAATCAGGTTCTTCGTTGAAGCCACCACAGATCGCAGAGCCGAAACTCCTGCGAAGGACGACCCGGGAGATTCGACAAACAGTAGTACTGCACCAAGTCAATGGAGCGTCGAGCTTGAGACTTCAGGCCGAGAATACGAAATCATTGGCGAAGATAGTAGGTGGAGTTTTGAGAATATTTACCAGGCGTTGATCCGAAGGTCAATGATTCGCTTACTTTCATGGGAAACGCTTCCTTCAAATGATCAGGGCAGATGATGAAGATGATACTGGACGTCAGTAGGTATGCGTAATCTGGACTTACAAGAGATACAGTTTATGGCAAAGCTCTGTGTTGAGCTCTCTGATTGGCTGTCAGTTCCAGCCGCCTTAGAGTTTGCACCTCGGGTGTGATTTGCTGGCCGCTCAGTTCTGAACTAATACTAGTAGCCTCCTGCACTGAATCAAAAGAGACCTTTCTGCCCCTTTGTTTGCAGTCAGAGTGCTGCTGCATTAAAGTATACGTTTCGGTTCTTCACGGGCTTGTCGCACTTTGTAACGCCAACACTAGCTTCACTGCCACAACAAATGCTGTATGAACTCAAAGCTTGAAGTAAGTTGGTAATGGGGTAAGTTAGGTCGGAAACCATAAAAGGAAACTCAGTAGCGGTGCAACAGCCGTCATGGGGTATTGTGCCGAAGTCAAGATCCATTGTGTAGATGTAGGTGGCAGTTTCGGCGGTGTAAAACCTTATACTGATCCGGTTCTGCCCTGCGTGTAAACCTCACGTTAAGCGGGAGTCCGACTGAATGAACGAATTCACAGATCCGTGTCCACCTGCCTGCGTCCTTGCTGAGTAACGAGGGGAAAACTGATTGAGAAGTATCGTACAATGCAATCTGGCCGTCTCAATGAGGTGTCGATACTTGATGCAAGCAGAACTCGATTGCATGCCGCTTTGCCCGGCTGTCAAAAGTGCAAAAATATTGCAGAAGTTTATCTCTTGTAATTATCCTCGAGCTTATATATGGCGCGTCTCAAGCCAGAATGCTTGAACGGTTCAGATTAGCTCGTCGCGACCACGCATCGGGGCACTGGCAGATTGTCATGTCCCCATGTGTTGTAATTCTCGTCACTGCCAGCCTGCGACGAGTTGCTGCGACGGCCTGCATCATGTTTTTGCTCGGACGGTCCCAGATAATAGATTTCGAAGCGCAGCATATATCGAAAAGCGCTGCTTTCATCCCGAAGAATGAAAGCAGCGAATTTCGTCGCGAAGTTTCCAGGGACGGGGACCGTGCGGGGACCAGGGGGACGGCAGGGGCTCGGACACTGCCTCACCTCTAAATCGGTGAGCTTTACTTCAGTTTTCGCGGAATCAGTTCGGGAATGCAGTAATATCCCTGAAGTATGATTAACCTTGAAAGCAAAATATTGCGCCCCCGGGGCGCCCCCTCAAAACAACGCTCGTGACCTCCCCTAGAACTCATATGCGACCGCCGCGTCAGGCGGTCCAGCAGGCGTAGTTGAAGGCCAAGCAGCCAGGCTCATCAGACAATCAGATTTCAGATGCGCTAAATCTACGATCCTATGAACCTATGAAGCTTGCAAGCTTGCTAAGTGCCTGTGTCCGCGCGGCCGCCCGGCCGCTTCATGACGCGGCGCGGCCGCATCGGTTCATGCTAAGGGTTTGCCTCCGTCACGCACTCCGACGGACGGCAAAGAATTGCGCGCGCACAACCTGGCCTGTTTGAGTGTTGCGTGAGTCCTGAGAACGTTGCATTGAGGGAGAACATTCTTTCCTGACGCTCACTAGGGGTCTGGGTGGCTGCAATTTAGGATAGGTAATCTGGTAATCAAGCATGGCACAGGTCGCCACGTACGCATAAAGGGAGGGCGTAGCTCGGCAGAATGGCAACCAAGGGGAAACAAAAGGCCGCCACCGCGGCGCCGGGGGATGATGGGCCGACGTTGGAGGATCTCTACACGAAACTGGATGGCCATGTCAAGAAGAACGAGTTCAAGCGTGTCGTGAAGGCAGCTGATGAGAGTATCCTTTACAAGCAGCGGAATGCTTCTATTATATCGCCGTAGGTCTTTGTCTGAGATGGTCTTCTGGAAAGCATTGGGAGAGCTTTATTAAAAAAGGTGGTGCTGTTCCTTTGAAGGTCAAATCTGGATTGCTTCTGTCTGATCTTCCTGTGACTGATATCTTGGTAATGATACGGAGGGTATCTTCCCCTCTTGTTGTCTCAAAGAGCCACAATATGGCTACACGGTTAGTATTCTGTATACTTTTCTGCATTTTGTCCAATGCTATGGCTCTGCAGCGTCTTTGTCCAATGCTATGGCTCTAGCGCTGCAGACTTTGGTGTCCGATGGTTGCCAACTACAGATTGTCAAGACTGCTCAGAAAGTTGTGACCACGGATAGGTTGGCAATGTAGATTGGATCGGACTATTGGCACGCTCATGTCCTGGTCTTCTTTTCGGAAGCATCTTCGTGCGGCGCAATCGTTCGAAAGGTTTGGATCTCATTTGATACTGGTCCGCTCCCTTGACTCAATTGCCAACAGTCCTCACAAAGGCGCCCGGTGACCGGGACGCTTTTGCCGCCAAGGTGGTTGCACTGGTCCAGCAAGGCGAGATCGCTGCCGCCATCGCCCTTATCCAGGGGAAGGCAAACCCTGGCGCCCCTCTTCTGCTTGAAAAGGTGGGTGGCATTGCATTGTTTGAACAGCGACTGATCGACCACAGTAGTCTTGCCCACTGCATTCTGTTTATGGTCTGTGCTGAATGATGTGCAATCGAGGACGGGTCTTAGTCATCCAACCTGTTTTGTTGTTGCAGGCATACTGCCTGTACCGTAACAACCACCTGACGGAGGCCCGCGCCGTTCTCGAGAATGCGGAGCCGACGGAGGCAGTGCTGCAGCTGCTGGGGCAGGTGCTGTATCGCATGGGGGAGCACTTGCAGTGCATCAGCACGTGAGTCATCTGCCACTGAATTTCAAACTTCTGGAGCATTTGAGATCATCCGGATGTCAACCTTGGAGATTGAACCTTCAAAGGTCGATCTGGGGGCTTCTACTCTTCAATATTGATATTCCTTTCTAAGCGAGCTGAATGTTTGTTCTCTGACTCTTACGTGCTTTTGGTCTTGACCTTCGAAACGCCCCCCACACGCAGCCTTATCAGACCCGCTCGCCTCCTTCCTGCATGCATCCTGTTCCAAGCAACCAATCTTCTGTAGCCTCCCACTGTTTAAAAAAAGTAGAGCCCGCGAAAGCCCGACAATCTGGAACTCTCAGTTCATCGCCTTCGACCAGGATCGACTCCTTCCTAGGTTGCCTCTTTGGTGTCCCCCGTTGTCAATTTCGTCGCCATTTGTCATCAGAACGTCACGAAATATCAGAGTGAACAGAAAGATCTGAATTGTTTCCAGGACTCCGCACTGTCGCACCGGCCTTCAAGAAAACAGCCTAATATTTCTCAAGATCCCAGATCTCAACAACTGTTTTTCCCACAGGTATGAAAAGCTTCTCGAGATCGCCCCGGCCGCCTCCCCCGAGGTCAAGACCAACGTCGTCGCCGCGTACATCTCCGGGGGCCGGTCGGAAGAAGTCCCCGCCCTAGTTACCCGGCTCAAGATCCGCCCCCGCGACAGCTTCGACCTCGCCTACAACGCAGCCTGCGCGAGCATCGACCGGGGGGATCTACCGGGCGCCGAGGAGCTGTTGCTTTTGGCGCAGAGGGTCGGACGGGAGACGCTGATCGAGGAGGAGCTGCCGGAGGAGGAGGTGGAGGACGAGCTGACGCCACTGATGGTGCAGTTGGCGTATGTGCAACAATTGCAGGTGGGTTCGGCGTTTGTTCTTTGCAGCGATTTGAGGGGGGGCAAAATCCTGAGGGTTTTTAGAAAAGTGCTTTGGACATTTTGAGTTGATTGGTTGGAGCTGGGTCAGGAGCTGAGTCACGAGAAGGTTGCTCAGAATAGTCCAGTGGAGGACGAACTGAGGTCGCTAAAGCAGTTGGCGTATGGGCAACAGCTGCAGGTCAGAGCGGCGCGTCGTTCTCAGGCAATCGTGAAATGCTGATTCTCGGGTCATGCGGTCCCTGTTTCAGGGCAAGGCGCAGGAGATGATGAAAGTAATCTCCTCAAACCATCTTCGACAAATATGTCACACCCCGACATTTTTTGGCAGACGATTCATGATAAAAAATTACAGAAAGGTGACAGTCTGAGCGGTACCTGTGCAGGGCAAGGTACAAGAGGCGATGGAGGGGTACCACGGGGTGCTCAAGCGGCGGCCGTCGGACGCGCCGTCGGCTGCTGTTGCGTCCAACAACCTGATCACGCTGCGGGGGAAGAAGGACCTTTTCGACTCGCTCAAAAGGTAAGTGCAATCAAACCAAAGCCGGGGCGAACCCGAAAATCGTAGCTGGTCTGGGTGCTTGCAGGGACTTCGTCATTCTTTCCTGCATGTTGGGTGACGACAAGAATGAAGCGCCGCAATTGTTGCGACGCAAAATAGGCGGGTTGTCGGAATGGCAGGGGCGGGGGCAGCGGCAGGAGCACATGAGAGGAATCGGTGGACCCCCTGTCAAGTTCAGTACGAGAAGTATGTAGTTTCCCAGGAAAATCCTTCTTTCCTTCGTTTCTCGAGCAATCCATTGCCTGACCAATCCACCTACTAAACGTCGCGCCTTTCCCAGATTCGGCCCCTTCTTGAGAAGAACGCGGTGGGGAAGCCCCGTTCCGCGAACACAAAGCACGCCTCAGCGTCGTCAGAAATGATTTTCCTTCTGGAATGTCCGGAGTTATTTAGCATATAATCGACACCAGGTCAACACCTGAAAACGATCACTTGATTACACACTGTGGCTGCTTCCAGGTTCGACCTGTTTATCGAGACGGACGCGGTCGGCAAGTCCCGTTTTGCGAGCACATTCAGCCCGGAACATCGTAAAGAACGCTTCTCCTTCCAAGTCAACCGGAGTCCTAAATCAGCGTCGTACCAACATCAGATCAATACCAGAAAAGATGTATCTACTGAGCGCTTTCCCTCTCGAATTGCTCGAGGGTAGATCGATACAGCGTATAGAAACACGTATTCATTGACTAGATTTCCGATCCCAGGTTCGACCGCCTGATTGAGAAGGACGCCGCAGGCAAGCCCCGCTTTGCGGACGCGCTCGCGCTCAAGCTGAGCCCGCGCCAGAAGGAGGCCCTGTTTTTCAACCGGTTCCTGCTGTTGCTCCACTCCAACAAGCTGGACCAGGCGCGGGAGCTCGTCCCCGCCCTCTACGAGGCCTTCCCCGGCCACGACACCCCCGCGCTGCTGCACGCGGCACTGCTGCTGCAGGAGAAGAAGGCGAACCAGGCGGAAGAGCTGCTGACGGTGGGTTTGATTTCGAATTTCAATTTTGAGTCAGGTGTTTTTGTTTATAGTTTTATGTTGGGCGCGGGTTTGTTTGCTTTCATAGATAGGAGCGGAGGTTTCTACCATGGTAGAGCAGTTCCATTTTGTGTTTGCGGAGAAGCAGAGGCGGGTTTGTTTGTTCTTACCGACCTGCGTGAAGAGAAGAAGGCTGATCAGGCAGAGGAGCTGCTCACGGTGTGTTTGGTTTTGGGGTTCGTTTTGGCGCCAGGCTTCTCTGATTTGTACCTGCGGAGTAGCAGAGGGTTGTCAGTCTCCCTGGGCAAATGTGCGTTGGGAGAAGAAGGGCAATCAGGCGGACGAGTTGCTTACGAGAACTTGAGGTGTAAGGTGTCTACATTGTTAGAACGTTTCTCATCTGTCTTTGTGGAGGCGATGTCTTTATCGTACAGATGTGCGTCGGGAGAAGTAAGGTCCAGAAGGCGGACGGCTTGCTGATTCTCACCTACCGCCACTTCAAACTGTGCTGGGTTGTTTGCTTACTGTCTGCACGAGAGGAAAGGAGCACTGGAAAATTCCGGCACGTCCTCTCGTCGCCTACTTTTCAAAATCTTTGCCCCTCGCCGGATCCGTCGACGTCTCCACTTCCACTTCCACGATTACAAGATGACAAACGTCACGGTTCTTGGAAACCGTTTCTTCCAGATCGCTCCCGGCTGATCTTGCTTGACATGTTGGCTACTTGGTCTGCAAGAATCAAAGGAAAGAGCTTGACGCTTATCTTCTCTCTGCAGGAACAAATGGAGAAAAGCGACGGGGGCTCAGTTCCAGCGCAGCGGGTCTTGTCCCAAGCTGCGACGCTGACTGAGAAGCCAACCCGTCTTTTCATCCGTTCCTCGGGACATCCTCGGCTAGTCTGCTCAGATATATTTGCACACATTATTGCAGGAACAAAAGGAGAAGAGCGAGGGCGGCTCGGTAGCAGCGCAGCTGGTGTTGGCCCAAGCGGCGGCCCTGGCCGGAAACTTCAATAAGCTAACCCTTCTTGTAACCCGTTCCATTCGTTCCACTGGACATTGTTGTGTGAACTTGCTCAACGTGTTTGTTTTTCTTTTGCAGGAACAAAAGGAAAAGAGCGAGGGCGGCTCGATAGCAGCGCAGCTGGTGTTAGCTCAAGCGGCGGCTCTCACGGGAAACTTCAGAAAAGCCGCGGACGTGTTGGGGGCGGTGGATTCCATCCAGCATCAACCGGGCACTGTGGCCACTCTAGTTGCATTGCGCGAGCGGTCAGGAGATGTGACCGGGGCAGAGGCGGCGCTTGATGCGGCAATCAGCTGGTGGGACTCGCACATGGTGAGTGGCGGATAGGCTGTGGTTGCTGCCATAGGCTATGGTTGGTGCGACACGCTATTATCTATCTGGACCGATAGGCGTGTCGATATGAGACGCTGTCAGCTGGTGGGACTTGGTGTTCTCAGTAAGCTCTTACTCATGTTCCATACAAGTTCTGGACCTGCCCGTCCGGAATCAGGGCGATCGTTCTTGTACCGAAAGACAAGCAGACGCCCAAGCCAAAAATGCACTCCCTCGTGCACAGGGCGAAACGGACGTCGCCCAGATCGCGGAGACCCTAGTATCCCAGGACCTTAAAAACGAAAATCCCAAAGTAACAATCCGCTAAGTTAAAAGAATCAAAATGACAAAGCAGACGCCCAAGCTCAAAATGTATTTCCTCTCCAACAGGGCGAAGTGGACGCGGCTCAGATTGTGCAAACGCTCACCTGCGAGGCCGCAGACTTCAAGCTGCGCAACGGCAGGCACCGGTCCGCTGCCGACACGTACAAATGCCTTGTCCGGAGCCCCATTCCAACTGTCCGAGCGGACGCAATCACGGGTCTGGTAGCGAGCACAGCCCACTTCGATCCTGCCGCTGCTGAAAGTGAGTTTCGACCGTTTCGTCTACAATGTTCTGAACTCTTCAGTAACTTAACACCGAGGGCGAACGGGGACGTGTGATGAAAGATTGTTCACGAGCAATTTATGCTGAGAGTAGCTTAAATGTAGATTGTCAATGAAAAGTTCAATACTTTAGTAACTTAGGCCAACTGTGTCCATTCCATGAGGAAGGTTCATACTCTACTTGACTCATGCCGGTCTCCTGAAGTGTCCTTTGCACCGAGATGCTGTTTTACGAACGTGCTTGAACGAAGCGTCGACTGTGAAAGCAACGAATCTGTTGGGTGACGGCCAACGGCGCCGTTGTCTCCCTCCTGAGACAGCCCCACCTGAACTCAATCGGTCCGCTCCAGGGTGCCCACCGTCTGCTTTTACCGTTTGTACGGACAATCCCCGTTGCTTTGCTCGCATAGAGCTTCACGGATCCTTCGACATAGTCCTTGTCGGACGAAAAGCCTGCCGTTGTTTCCGTGGATCACCTCGTCTCTTCTCAACGCGTCTCCGTACCACGTGAGAGTCTCCTTTTCCAAAGAGCCATGAACCTTTCCCCCCAGCGCAAAGCGTGTGAGTTTGCAGCGACAATAATCCATGTCTTTGCCCTTCCAAAGAGCCTCGGATCCTTCCCGTGCCGCAAAGCGTGCAACCCTTGGACTGACAATGGTCACGCTGCTTTTTTGAAGGTTACGAAGGGGAGCTGCCGCCGCTGCCGGGCGTTCAGGGTTTGGACGCGGCCAGTCTGGAGCGGACGTCGAGTGCGGCCGCCCCGGCGGGGGCTGCAGCCGGGAAGAAGGGAAAGGGCGCGGGAGACGGGGAGGCGGTCGGGTGAGTGGGCTACACTCGACGAGTATTCTGGATTTGACTGTTCATATTGCATTAGAAGTTGGTCATGAGCTCAAATCGCACCCGTTGAGAATCTGCGTTGGCAAAGTTGGACGAAATGTGAATTGACCTGACTCACAAGCTTTCCTCGGCTCTGAAATTGAATTGGAAAAACGAACATGGAAAAAAGAAAGCTAATGAAAGAAGTGTATGTGAGGTCCTGCGCTGGACGGAAAGGGAGAAGGGGAGGAGTGCAGAGACTGGAGGGGACTGCGTTAGAAGGTTTAAGGGAAGGAGTGTATCAGAATTTGCTCATGTCGACGGGATCTGCTTGGTTTTCTGACCACACGGGATCTTGGCATTATTTGCCCAGTGGTTATAGCTTTCTTCCGTGCATGTGGATTGGGGAGGCCTGCTTGCCAGAGTATTAGAGACGCGACGCTAATGTTGTTCCCAGCTTACAGTGATTAAATAGATTGTGTCCCTACGCATTTTCCTACTGGGGCTGCCAGTTCTGTGGATCGGAATGAGCTGTAGTCAAATTTTCCAAGATTGATAGGTAAAGTTGAATTGAGCGTCAATGGTCGCTGCCTATTGATTGTTCAACGTCAGCCAAAACATTAGCAATCCTTTTGCAAGATGCGACGTTGGTGGCCGTTTATAGTACCCTTAGATGTGCCGTATTGATAAAGGGCTTTTAAGAATGTTCGTTCAGCATTGGGCTGCTAAATTCGAAATCGGTAGTCTCATCGAATCAGATCACCGGATCCGGATATTCAAAGCAGACAAGCCGAGAGCCTGAGCAGAATGCTCCTTGACACTGTCATTGCGGCACAGCCCCGAACCCGTCTGTTCTTCTTCCTGTAGGCAAAAGCGTGCCGGTGCAGACCTCGAAGGGAAGAAAAAGAAGCGGAAGAAGAAGGTACGGTATCCGAAGGGGTACGACCCGGCGAACCCGGGGCCACCCCCCGACCCAGAACGGTGGCTGCCACGGCGGGAACGAGCGAGCAACAAGAAGCGTGAGTGCCCGGTTGAATCATCTGATATCCCGAAAAGTGTTCGGGCCTCTCCTTTAGCTGGTCAGAGGAGGTTTCAGAAGGTCGGGTGCAGGAGTCTGTTTGCTACTTCAGTTTCGGTGAAGCGGATTTTGGTTGGTATGACCCAGAACGATGGCTGACAAAGCGGGAACGAGCGAGCAACAAGAAGCGTGAGTGCCCGGTTGAATCATCTGACTTGCGCAGATTGTTCCTCAGTCCTCTCCTTTAGCTGGTCAGAGGACGTTTCAGAAGGTCGGTGCAGCAGTTTGTTTGCTACTCCAGTCTCGTCGAAGCGGATGTCGGCTTGGTACGTACAGACGCAACGGGGCAACTTCTGCCTTCCTGTAGTGAGAACGACATGGTTTTGTCCTTCGAAATCATGGTCAAAGGCAGACACGAGAAGCCTGATCAAAAGAAGTGACTGAAAGAAGAGGCTCGGTTGACTGTGACGCTTGTTTGGGGCAATTCAAACTCACGGATGGTTGTCGCTCGTCCGAACGGCACAAGCAAGAAGGCGGCACGTCTTCCAACACAAGCTCCTCCTATCGTGTTGCGCACGCCTGTCTGCGTTGATGGTCTCAAGGTGTGCACTTCGTTCTGTGTAAAGTTGGCCGAATTCAAGCTCTTAAGTTTCGTAAGACCAGCATAACAAGGACATCTGGGTGGCCTTAATCTACCGACAGCTGCCCAGACGTCCGATAGTTCACCTCCTGGTAAAAAAGAATTTGAGGTCATTCCATTTGACCTTTACGTTGCTCACCTGTTGTGTGAGTGAACAAGTCATTGATGGCGGCGTTTCGACACGGCAAGGAACAAGAAGAACGAAATTCCAATCTGCCCGTTTCTGTATAGCTGGATAAGAGTCCGGCGACCGATCCACACCCCAAGAAGTTATGTCGAGAAGTTCAGACCTCCTTCTGCTCTTCGGACAACTAGAGCGGCTGCTTTCAATACCGCAGGGAACAGGAAGAAGGAAGTCATTGGAAATAAAACCACCCCCATTCCATATCTTTAGCTAACTCGAGCGGCGACCTGTTCCATAATGCAGGAAACAAGAAGAAGGAGGTCAACGTGCGTGGGGCGCAGGGGGCCGCGTCCAAGGACGCCACTTTTGCAGCCGCAGAATCGTCGGCGCCCGAACCGGCTAAGGCGGCCGCGGCCGCGAAGCCGACCCCGCCACCGTCCGCCGGAAACAAGAACAAGAAAAAGGGCAAGGGACGGAAGTAGCAGACCGGAGGTTTGCTTGTGAGTAATAACGTGGGAGCTGTGGCGGATAGTGAGTGTGAGACGAAGGGAGTGATGGAGGGAGGCGCTTGTGCAAAGGATGCACGATCCCTCTTCGTTAACGAAATCAAGGGAAGAGGAAGGATGCAAGACATTTTTTCGACGTACGAGACCTGGGGGAGAGGGAAGATGTCAGTAGTTGAGAGTTGGCCATGTCAGAAGCGAGCTTGCGAAAGACAGGGCGATGATTGAGAGGGCTGCGCTAGGATGGCGCATTCGAGATCGTGATTGCTAAGCCTGGAGGGCCCACCGTTGTGTCGCGGATGCGCACTCTTTGAAGTGAATGGCTTACATGATTGATCGCGCTTCTAAAGGAGATTCTTAGGGGTTAGCGAGATTGCTGCCTTCATGTTTTAACTCTGATCCGTCCTGACTGTACTAAAGGGCCGTCGGTGCTCTTTCAGGAACTATGTTCGGCTGCAATGTGCGAAGCATGTGATGCATATGACTTGGACCCCGTGGTTGCAAAGACTTAGGGAAGTCGAGCTGTCCTGCCCGTCGATCCCTTGCATGGTGGACTAACTTACTTGATTTGTGGATTTAATCACGATCAGTTGCAATGACTGATGCATGAGATCTCTTAGTAATCCGACCGGCTATGTTTAACTGGCGCTGCGCCTAGCTGCAGGCTGCGCCACACTGAGCTTGATTCTGAGTCGTGCCGACATGCGCATACTAAGCTAGCCCCTCATCCTCTCCATATAGGCACGCGGAACGAATCATGTACAAGAATTTGATCTGTGCCGCTGCAGTATCCGATCGATCAATATGCAACTCAGCTGGGCCGGATCAATCAATCGACTCACGCATGTGGATGGATAGTTCGATATCATCACGTTATGGAGGCGTGCAATGGATTTCTATGGATCAGCTATAGTATGCTCAATCTAGCTGGATCAGCTAGTCATCTATGGATCAGCTAGTATGCTCAGTCTAATAGTAAGCAATTGTATTGTTGTGTGATGAACGCAAATGTCAAAAAGATGTATCTTTGCCTCAACAGATCAGATGTAAATTTTGGCCACTCACGGAAATAGGTTGTCGAAGCATGTCAAATATTATCCGATCTCCAGAATGTAAAACAAAGCTCAGGCTTCAGGTAAGTTACATGCATCGACATAAAAAGAGAGCGAGAGACTCGAGGCAAGCAATCCTATTGGACTGCGGCAGCAAATGGTAAGTTACCACTTACGGCGAATCATGTTCAGCAATGTTCGACACGTTTTCTAGGATGACAAGCTACATGCTTGACTTCGTGCTTGACATACAGTACATTCAGAATTAATGCGCTGCCTCAGGGTCCCAAAGGTCCACTTCGAAGCTAGCAACTATGTACTAATTCTACGGAGACTAGAATTACTGATATTACAAAAGTTGAGGGCGGACTTTGTACGTCCTGGCCGTTTGAAGGGCCAGATTAGAGAAGATTTGGACAAGTTGTTTACAAGTCGCGCAGGAACTCCGCAGCAGTAGCCAAAGCTGCTCCTGTCAGGGCACTCTGGGCGACCTTGTCGTTACCACGCCCATCATCAGTGCTTGCAGCATACAGGGCTCCGGTGATGGCTCCAGCAGCCAGGGAGTTTACCTGAAAGTAAACCAGGGAAAATCAGCATATCAACCAACTTGATGGTAACTCCCTGTCTTCATTTCCCACCTAAAAGAAGCCTCTCACAAATATTGATTGCAACGATCACGCTAGCAGGACAAAGGAGAACAGTTTTACACGAGGGACATTTAGGAGACTTTATAAGATCAGAGGCGCCAAGGATGAAGACTGCCAACTAAGCTGAGCGATGCAAACCAATTGTCCAATGTCATTTTACGCAAATGTACTTCTGCTAATACAATCGTTTGTTTCCCTAATTTCGAACTCTTTGCGTCACATTTTGCATGAAAGCAAGCAACTTGGCCATGCACAAAATATGCAAACTTTTGCGCGCTGTTTCATGCAGGAATTCTCCCAGGCAGGAAAGAGCAAAGGCAAGTGGCTTACCCAGTCGCGCCTGCCGTCGCGTGCCTGCTCCAGCCCGTAGTTCACCCCGGTGTACACAGCAGAGATGGCTCCCCACTCAAGCCCCTGGCGTGCAGCGTCCTTCGCCTGCAACACGCAGTTTCTACATTCTTGCAACTGTTCAAATTGCTTGCTTTTCAAGTGGCAGCACTCCACCATAGAGATCGATTGGCAATCAAAAACACAGAAATTGAGTCTCCAACACGTCAAATAACATGTCATACCAGGCAAAGGCTAACGAGAAGGAATTATAGTAGCTTGACGGGCAAAAACTGCATTTGCATTCGAGGTCCAACATAATGTGACAAGGGAAACCTGCCAGCACTGGTGGCCAGAAGCTTTGACAAATTTGTCAATCATTTACCAGCAGCAAAGGATCAAAACCAACGGTCGATCAGCCAAAGTCCATGTTGACAAATCTGTGGAGTACAGAGCAGTAATGTGTGCATCTTGATATTCATTAAAACAAAAACATCTAAGTATGTTTGAGGTGCAGACTCAGGGAGGCTCGACTCACAGTCTTCTCAAAGTTGAACTGCTTGGCGTTGTCAGACCCAACCGCCTGGTTAAGCCCTTCCTTAGCCAAACCGTGAGCAGCGCCTGCACCAAAGAAAGGCAAACATTATGCACTCAAGGTAAACACAATTGACAGGGCATATATTGATTACACTCTGCATTGAAACAATCACAGAGATCTGAAAAGGTTCACTTGGACTGTCTAGTCTTATAACCTGAATCAACAATAAGCAATGTCGGATGAGAAAGCAACTCACCAACAAGGCCAATGTTGACGAATGAATCGACCACTGTGTTTGCTAGTCGGTTTCCAAGGTCAACCTTGATGCGGCTGGGTGCTTCCCATCCTCCGCTTACTCTGGTGGCAGACACCCTGTTTGTCGACATGGTTGTTCTGAGAAGAAGAGCTGCGGGAACGAGTATAGGACTTGTTAGAATACTTTGAAGATTGACAACTTTGAAAGCAATGAAATTATGATCACGATTATAGAACAGCCTTAGCTGCATGAGGAGATGACACCTGGGACACGGTCTTTCTGGCCACCTCTGCAGCAATCTGATACCCAACTGTGCCGTCGTGATTGAGTAATTGCAATCCCAGTAACTCCAGCTTATAAAAGGCTTCTCAGCACAGTACATGCAAGAACTACAGCCTGTGAAAATGTATTCAATCTCAGCTAAGACCATCATTCACATTTGCAAGTAGCTGGAAGTGGGTTGCCGCAAAGTCGCAATGTGCCTATGAAGCCTGAGCTTATACAAACGTGTGGCTCACATGCAGCCAAACTTCTGGGAGGGGAGAAACAAGGAGTAGAAAGTCTCCAATTTGTATAACTGCTAACCTGTTTAAAATAAGAGCACCATGCACAAACAAGAAGCATTGAATCAGTGCATGCATGCTATTATCAGCTTCTCACACATGTGTATCTTGCCTTCACTTGTCCAATCCAAGCATCATCAAACTACCAAAAGATTGAAGCCATTATTTACTGAACAAGCACTCCTATAGCAGCCACCATCTAATGACCACCTGCATGCGCGGTCAGGGACCTGTCGTCCTTCCTTTTCCTGACCGCAAAACACGATGCAGCTTGGACGTTTTCTGTAATACCACCACCAGACTATCGAATCCCCTTACAAAGGGACAGAGCAAAAAGCTGGCAGAACGCATCAAGGAGCTCACCTGGCACGAAGTGCTTGCCGCTACAGGAATGTAGCTAACCACAGAACGGAGCTGCAAGAGAAGCTCTTGAGTCTATTGCGCAATTGTTCTTCCTCTTGCAAGATGTTGAGGCGTCTTGGAGTTTCTGCTGGGAAGAAAGCTGGGCACGCTGCAGGTCACAATTGACACACGGCATGCATGAAACTAAATGCAAGGCTGTTCGTGACTTCGTCACACTCTGTTGAACGCGGGCGACGCCCGCCATTGGCGACAACAGCAGCCTGGTGCAGAGGAGCCCTGCCGTTGGCCCTTCGAGATTCTCCCTTATCCAGGTTTCGTTTCCTGGGTTTTCGGGTGTATCGTTCTTGACACAATACCGTCTCCATTTTCTCAAGCTTAATCATGCAGGAAGAATTAGTGTCAAGCAGAACCATTCCAGTGACGCTCAACAGGTTCACTTGACTAGGTTTTCACGTGCTGCCAGCTCACCGTGCATGCATTGGTCAGCTTTCTGACAGGCCACATCAGCTGTGGGGCTCGGCCAGTATCTCATGGAAGCCGTCCGATTGAGATACGAAACTCTTATCGACGTTGGAGGTGACGATGTTACGAACATTGAAGCCCTGTGATGTGACCGCCGCGATCGAAGCAATTGTTACCACTGTCCAGCCGGCCGCGGCGTGCGCGCGATTCGTTCTAGCACAATGCTAGCTGCCTCAATTGCGCCTGATCTGATCTGATCGATCGAAGTCTTGGTTACCTAGAGCCGACAGAATCCTCAACATGGCGGCTGGGTATTCACCGACATGCGCCAGAGACCTGATGAATGAAAGATCTCAACATTCCCCGCCTCGTCCTGGTTGTGAACCATCGATGAAGCTCACTCGAGCAGTTCTAGCAAGTTCCCGGCATTCTGCCTCATGACTCGCAACTTAAACGTACAATAGCATGGATTTCAAGCATCAATTTATCTCAACACGCCGGTCAGAACGTCAAAAGAAAGTCGGTGTAGTGCCTCAATGGAGGCGCAAGACGAACTACAGTGGCTGGCGCCCGGGCGGAAGGTTGTCCTGCAGTACACACCGCCCAACTTGACACCACCTCCCTCAGTGCTTGCTGATTGTGTCCACCTTTCTCCTGAAGATGCACCACAGAGAGTTGTCACTGGAGCTCCCAACGATCATGAGCTTCAGCACAGGATGCGGAATGGTCAAGCCAGAAGCACCTCGCAGGATTCTGGAGGGGCTCTCGTTTCAGAGTCGATGAGAGCCTCCCGCACTTCCACAGTGGCCCTGGATGAAGCGACTACTATCCCTGGGGCAGAACGGCTGTTAAGAAATCCAAAGTATACAGCGACGGTCATAGACGCTTTTCCTGAGCATGACAGGGCCTTCAAGCACATTAGCACAGTGTTTATCATTCCCCAGGTGAGAAGCTTTCTTAGAAGCACTTGTTTTGGGCTCTTGAGGGCATCAGGAACTGGCCAGGGACTGCCAAAGCCCGATCTGCCTTACAGCATACTCGTTTGCTTGTGAAGCCCCCCTGTAAGGCGACAGAAACCGGATAAGGAGGAAGGGTGGTTCGATCTGGATCGGTGCACAACCGTGACAACTCGTCAAAGGCAGCGCAGCAGCGGATGTGCAAGAGCTCCATATGCAGACTTTCTTACAAAAGTTGGTGAGGCCAGGATGTTCCGAACTTGATTCTTCTTCCCGCTCCTGACAGCTCAAGCTTGATAAAATGCGATGTAAAAGGAACTTCGGCGTAAGTATATAAACCCCCCAAAACGAACCCAGCAAACTGCAAACACATAATCCTAAAATCATGCCACTAATTCTTTACCCCACTTGCAGGGCATGGAGCTAGACTGGTTGATCTCCACCCCTGAAGGCCAGGCTCAAGTTGTGGCGGGAGCCGACGCCGCCCGCGTCTTCCTCGTGACCCTAAACCGAGGCCATACATTTACCTCCGCAGAGCAAGTGCAGGTAAGATGCCCGAGGACATCCTCTCTTGCCCTGCAAATCCTTACCTGCTCTGATGGTCAGGTTGTGCATTGATGCCTTTGAGAACTGTGGGTGAGGGCCTTGATTGTTCATTGATGAGTCCCCCAGTTCGATTTGCAGGGGTGTAGAAGTAGACCTATTTCGGCCCTTCCTTCGCTTTCTGTGTTTTCTGTGGAAATCAGGTGTCCAATGATTTGGTACGACGCAAAAGTCTCTTGCTCATTCGCTGTCTTCTTTGCTTGATTGTAGCAACATATTGTGCTTTCTCAGTGGTCATACAACGCTTTGAGGCCAACGTGTGCTGTGATACGATCTAGATCGGGAGCAGTAGCAAATAAGACGGGCTTGAACCCGGAATTATACTCTCTGATCCGAACCCTCACCATATTCTGTCTGTTTTGCATTGATCTGTTCCAACAGTGCTTCCTCGCACTTGAGGTCAAGATGCCAGCCTTACGGGCAATATTTCCGAGTCAGGCGAACTTTGGAAATTGTGTCCACCAAACAGATCACGAAACCATCCCTGCGGATTCGGTCGACTCCAGGCAGTTGGATCCAAGTGGTTAATTTGACTCGTTCGAGCTCCGAGGACCTGTCTTCATGCAACTGAATAAGGAGCAGCTTTTGCAAACATCCAGCGCACTATGCAGTTCTATGAGTACGAGTGGGCTTCGTCTCGCCTCAAAGTACATGAGCGCCATGCGCGCAGTCACTGCTGTAAACTGCGTCCGGCGCCTCAACTCCAAGCAAACACAAACGTCTCTCCTTCCTCTCTCTTTCTCACTGATATCTTCTAATTCTGTGCAGAAAGAACTGTCGCCGTGGATCCGAACACTCACCAACGGCGTCCTTCCAACCCTTAACCCCACCGCCATTCCATACACCACCACGCCCCAGGGAATCGGGCATCGGACGGTCCTGATCAAAGTCGAGTCCAACATCAATGGTCCGATTGTGGTGGAAGACGTCCGTTTGACCGAGCCCGGGAAGCTCCAGCCGACCACTTTCCGGCGGATGGTCTTCCTCGACTCCCCCAGTCTGATCCAGTCGGAAGCCGTGCTTATTCACACCGAACCGGGGGAAAGAAGCGGGCGGGGTGGAGCGGATGACGTTGACGAGCGGCAAACGTTGTTCGGGGCTAAGTTGGATGTTGACGGAGTCATACCGGGCACAAACACGGAGGAATGTGACGGTTGTGACAGAAACGAGGCGGCGGGTGAGAGGATGGAGAGGGATCATCGGAAGAAGGCAAGAAGGAGAGGGGTTGGTTCGTTGGACGGTGGACAAGAGGGGGACGCGCCAACGCGAGCTTCGAAGAAGGCGTCAGGGGAAGAACTAGGGGTGGCGAGCGAGGGGGAGCAGGACCACCGGAAGAGGGCGAGACGGAGACACGAGGAACGCTTGGGAAGTTCCGGTACCGGAGGAAATCATCAGAAATTTGAAGCGAATGCTGCCCAGGAAGAGTCTGAGTTTTCCGGCAGTTTAAGTCCCCCAGATCGCTCCATCTCACAGCAGGGCGGGGAGAAACTTGCAAAGGGAGCAGAGGCCGAGAGCCTAGAGCACGCCACGTGTTCAGAAGATGCGGACGGTGTCAATACGTCCGGAGAAGCGAGTGACAGGCGCGAGCGTCAAGCGAGCTGCACAACAAACGCGGGTGGCGGGCTTTCGGGTATGACAAGCGCAGGTGTCGCAGAAGAGCGGAGCGGTGCGGTCGAGATTCTTGAAAGGGCAGGAGCGGAGTGCCGCAATGGGGGGGTTTTGATGGGCGTGGACTTCAGCTACTTGGCGAGCGACTACCTCCAAGCAATGGTTGCGGGGCTTGCGTTCCTCGGTCCGGGAATTGAAGAGCGGACGGAGAGCGGGGGGCTTTTGGACGTCCTGGTAATCGGTTTGGGAGGCGGCGGCATGCCAATGTTCCTGCGACGGCATTTGCCGTGTCGCGTCGAGGTGAGGCGATTGTGAACTGTCTCAAAAAGGGCTGTTTGCGATCACACTTTTGCCATTTGGCAGACTCCGATAAGTCGTCTTGGTTTATGGGATGATTTCGAAATGTTGAAGTACATAGTTTGAGCACCCTTCCAGTCTGTTCTCTGCAAAGTTGGATTCCAAGAGAGAGGCTCAAGCCTCAATATACCCCAAGACCTGAAGCAGCAAATCATGAGCGCAGAGGACCTTGAGTGAGCAAATCGCAGACCTCGCAGCAGAGCAAAGACCTGTACTGGAGACGCGCATCGTTGTCAACGAGTGCGTGGTGTGACAGGTCTCGGTTTCTTGCTCAAGAGCCCGTGCGTAGCGCTTCAATCGCCCGGCCCACAACACGACATCCAATTAGCAGCGACATTGATGCGGGAGTCCCAGCATTGACCTCGCCGTATAGCCACCTGAAGCATACTTAAATGACGCCCTCTTCATGGGTTGAGTGCGGTGAAGTCCGGATCTGCTCGCTGCTGAGTATTGTGTTTGGATCTCGTCCAGGTTATTGAGATCGACCCCACCGTAGTGGAGCTCGCGGAAACTTACTTCGGCGTTTTCCGAGATGCAGCCTTCCAGGTAACGTCCAATACCCTAATGCCTGCTTACGCGCCTTCTTGAAACGGGAAAACGTTCAGAGCTAGTCGATGCTGGTGGTATTGGAGAGGATTTCGGTCGTCTTATTGGAAGGGCGAAAGATTGGGAAAGCCTCGTAAGCAGATGTCCGCGTCACGAAGTGGTCCGGTTCTTCATTCCGTCTCTGTTACCCAGAGTCTGCCTTCCTGTCGTTGCAAACAACTTACCTTAGCAAGCACAGCTTCGAAAGCACGTCGTCAGATAGGAGAGAGTTGTTGGGGACTACGTGTTGGAGCAAAGCCAGTGGAAAGGAACGTAGACTCCCGGAAAAGTCACTGATTTCCGAACCCCAGTATGTTCGGCGATTTGGTTGTCCTCATTGTCTTGATTCAGTATTGTCAGAGGTTATAGTAGCACAAGGCTAGAGAGGTTGCAAGAGTCCATGTCTCCCTCAAAGGCTCTGGCACGGAACAATTGCTTCGTGCGTCTTTTTAACCGGAAAGACGCGCATTACTTTGGATTGCTACGGGAATGTATGCCATCCTGTAATTCAGGAAGCCACAAGCGGACTGCTGAATAGTCACAACGGAGATACGGTAGAGCGTTTTGCTCTCCGAAGAAAGCTTCGGGGATTTTTTCAAGTCGTTAGTTGAGAAACGACTCATCCTGGCGTAGGTACACGTTGTCAACGCCATTCCGTGGGTCATCCTTGCCGCCACGACCGAAGTTCCGGCGTCGAAGAGCCGCAAGGCCAGCTTCGATGCAGTCCTAATCGACGTCGAGTCCGCCGGCGGCCCGTAAGTGGTAGCACAGGCTATATGCATCATTTATCCTCGGCAGATCTCTGTCGAGTGATCAGAAAACGATTGTTGAGCTTCGATGAAGGCATGTATCTTCTTTCTGTTGCTCAGTTGAAGTCGCCGGATCTGTTTGCCCCTGAGCAAACGCATCCTCGTAGTTACAAGCATTTTCTGTCGTTCCTTTGGTGACGTTAATCGGCTGCCGGTCCTTGACGCCGTCAGTCTCCCAGCTATTCTTTCCACCTTGCATCACTTCCTTTCGGACGGCACTCCGACGTTCCGGAGCCTTTCACACGGACTTTCTTGGCCTTTTCGACCTTTTCGATCCGCCTGTCTTGCGCGATTTTCGGTCTGGGCCTTGTGCCGCAGAACGTTGTCAAACTTACTCGTCAGACCTGTAAGAGCCGGCTTCCTTGGCAGGTCCACAGACCCAAGGCGGCGCCGTTCACCTTTTGCGTCCATCCCTGATATTGGATGGCAAAGCGCTGACTGCTTTCTCGAGGGATGTGCGCCAAACCCTTTTTCTGAAAAAGCCCTAAAACTTCAAAACCCTAAAACGCTGAAACTCTTCTTTACGCTTCCAGGTGCCCGCCTCCTGCGTTTCTGAAGCCCCGTTTCTTGTCAGCGCTCCGCGCGCTGCTCCGACCAAACGGAGTGCTTGCGATGAACGTGGTGGCGACGGACGAGATCAGAGAGGCGACGTACAAAGCAGTCCGCTGCGTAAGCCTACGCGACCCTCGAATGGTTGTCCTTCGTTTGTGGCGTCTTCCCTGAATCGCAATCCCCTAGACGAAATCGAGTCGGCCGAAACTTCGTCATCTGTTAACGGTCTCCTGAAGACGCCAAAGTCTTTGGGTCGTCATCCGATACACTCTTCTGAATTCTGTTGACAGGTTTAATTCCGTCCAGTTTGCCGAACCAAACAAAGTCGATCGGGTCTGCTGTTAGGATCGCCTGCAACTGGTCGCTTGTGATTAGGCCGGTCGATGGTTCTCAGTCTGGTCAATGCTTCCTGCATAGAGGCCCTTGTGACCCAGTCCATTATCATCAACAGGCTAGTGATTGGTTCTGACTGCTCCCTTTTCAACGCTTCGCTAAATGAAATGCGTCCCCGACACTTTCTGGTAGGAACCTTCTTGCGAAGGACTCAGACATTTTGAGCGCGTTAGAGGCATCGGGTCCTGAAGAATTCCCAATCGGACGGCCAGAATCGCACGTCAAAAGTCTGCCTTGGCGACCAACGTGAGATGTGCGTGAGATATTGTGCGTATTCCAGTCGCGGAGGCTTTACAAGTCATAGGACGCCCTCTTTTAAGCAGGCTGCCTTCCCAGGCAGACTGGCGCTCAGCAACGAACTTGTGGCAACGAAATTTTGCCCGGGCCCATACTCTCAGTCCCACGATTTTACATTACGTCTCAGAATAGGAGGAATGCATGCTTTTTTACCACCGCTCGTCGTGCACGCAGTGCCTGAGCGACCGGTTGTACGAGTGGAGCATTCCCCAGAACAGCAACCGGGTTCTGTTTTCCCACCGGCAGTCCGGCCTTGCATCGCCTGACCTCAGCCAGACGCCCGCTGAGTCTAGTCGTGGGGGTGAGAGTGATAATGACGACGCTGTTGACTTAGTGTACTGGGCGTCGCGATTGGCCGAAAAAGGTGCCGGAATGACGTCATGGGCCCGAGGGCCGGACCTGCCAAGCTTAGTGGCAGACATACAAACCCTGTGACCCGCGACGTTGTCATCTGCCTCGGCTGTGCTTCTCTTCAATTGCAACGGGAAGCTTTTCCAAACTCCTTGTAATTTCTCCAGCGCTTCTCACCTTGTAATTGAGCGAGTACCAAGAGCAACAAGCACGCACGTACACTGTCGGTTGGACTGCCATGTTGGTAGTTATGTAGACCTACATGCTATGTTCTGAAACATGTCTGAATTACTCCGGAATCACCTTATATATGGAACTTCTGATTGCTGGGCCACGGATCTAGTTTTGGTCAGTACGTGTATGCATCAAATTTCTGCGCGTGCGTGCTAGCTCGACGGTCCGGTCTCTATTAATATAGCCGCGCGGTCACTGCGAGCCTGGCATGCAAGTAACTCATGCATTTGAAAGGCACTTGTGGTGCTTTATCAGATCGGACTCTTGTGTGAGAACCATCATGTTCAGATGAATCAACTGGATGCAATCAACAAAGTCCCGGATTCATGCGAACATGACATTGAATTCAATCAGCTAGCTGGGTTCATGCGAATCAGACAAGGCACGCCTAGCTTCAATGCTCATGTCGGTTTGGAGTACGTTGACAATGCCACTGCCCGATTGAACCACGTTTCCACATTAGCTGGCGCGGCCATTACAAATCGCTCATGTTGTGTCAGCATGTATGATTGGTCATTAGCTTATTGTCGCTCAGTGATCCTTCCTTGAACATGCATGCATGCACGCATGGTAATGCAGGATCGCTTTGCTGAGTGCAAGATTAGAACTTCTACCGGAGTCTGGCGTGCAAAGTGACCTTGAACGTACCGTTTGAAGTACGGTAGCTACAGTAGCTGTATACTTAGCTGGGCCCGGCTCGGCTAATGATGGCAAGCGAGCGTCCGGCCGCCCGCGCGCGGATTTGATCGACCCGAACGTGGGCCGGCTTGATGCATTAGCGCGCGCGCGCCCATGCATTTAACTAGAATCTCTGTGCAATGCTCTGGTCACAGAATCCTGGACTGTGAAACCCAGCGCTAGACTCGTTTTCGACTAGTGGCAGTGGGAAGGATGAGCTCCTCCACTAGGGGATGTACCTATCTTCTTAGATTCTTCCTTTCCAGAGAATGATCTGGGCCCCGGCCATAGGAAGTTTGCCTAGGCTTTCCTCATGGTCAGGATGTCTCGCTCAACCAGTTGTACGCTTAGTAATTCTTCAAATGCAACGGGTCAGAGTACTTCCACAGCAGGTCTGCAAGCGTCACTTGCCAGCTGCAATGTGGCTCAACACAGGTGGTCGTTCTCGCTTGCAGAATGCGGCCTCTTCAGAGTTGCACGATGTAGGGATAGAAGAAAGATTCAGAGTAGCTCCGACCAAAACCCTTCTTATGGCAGTTGTTTTTGCTCAATCCAGCAAGGTAAAAGGGGAAGTCATCCACAGAGCAACGCAAAATGTCGCCAGGTGCGTGTGAAAATGGACCATTGCGTGGCTGCCAGATCTAAGGAGAGCAGTGCGCCCAAGCACATGTCCTTTAGGGAGGTGGCACAGGCGGTTGACATGATGCCCTCTGACGGTTTGGCCTTCCTTCAGAGTGCTGGTCTTCGTGGCTTGGACAGCGCTGACGTTGGCCGAGAGTTTGAGCCAAGGCGGCAATCAGAAGCAATGAGTGCTTACATCTGCGGCGATGTGTCCGACGAGGACTTTCCGGATCGGTTGACGGAACCGCCGCTGCTGAATCTAGGCAATGCTGATGCTACTGTTGGCCCTGGCGTAGGGTGCCAAAGCATAAGAGGCCCGGAGGCAGTGCTGGGAGGTGTTTCAAATAGTGGTGCGGGTAACTCTTCTACTTCTAGAGTCAAATCCAGCCATTTTCAGGCTGAAGCAACGCAGAACGAGGTGCTGCGCCCACCTCAGGAAGCGTTTCAGCATGCAGAATGCTGCAGACCGTGTCCTCCTGATGACACACAGGGATCAAGCGGCGGCGATTCTGTAGATAGGTTGCAAAAGTGTGCTGCTGGTCTGGGTGGCATAGCGGCCCTCGGTCTGCAGCAGCGCAAGGAGCAGAAGTCAGAAGTCATCTCAGAGAGCCAAAGTGTTGGCGCTTCCGATAGGGAAGCAGCGAGGCCAGGTATTGAAGAGGTAAAAGTAGAGGCTGCTATACAAGTTTATATTGAAAATAAAGAAGCTGAGAAGCTCGTTGAGTTGCTAGAGTCCCTGGGAAAAAGTAGCGTCAGTATGGGGAGCGTCGCCAACGCAAAAGAGGTGATCAACATGCTAGCGCACAGTGGTGGGACCGACATGGTTATAAGGTAAGTCTGATAGTGCTGCTGACAATCCATCAATGGCAAGGATTGTGTCAATCAGGATGCTCTGATCCATGTTTGTTGCACCATTGTACTATGCGCTGCTGACTTTCCAGTCATTCCTATGTGATAGATTACACCCCTCTCTGTTCCTTCCGTCCCCTACATATCCATCGCTTTCTTCTACACCCTTCTGTTGCAGTTGACGAATCAACTGAAAGCAGATGCTCCTGCGTATTCAGACATTCGAACGTCTTAGATTGTCCCCCTCCCACCTTCCAGGTGCCTGAAAGCCTTTCCCCAGAGCGGCGCGCTCTACTCCCACGCAATGCGTTCTTTCCCTCCACAAAACACCTCACTCTTCTGGAAGTCCCTGATTGGTCGGATAAAGGACGAGGGCGAAATGCCCCCCCCGAGGGACTATGCCCTCGTTGCAAGGACGCTGCTCCACTGGAAGGCGGCAGAGTTTGTGGACTTTGTATGCGCTTTGAGGAGCGTGTCTAGTTGCTCCACAAGAGATCTTTGCAACAATGAGGCGCTGTTTAGAGAGCTCGCGAGGCATCGGGATGTGGCGTCAACACTCAAGTGAGGGGTTGCTGCGCCCTTGTCTTTCAAAATGTAATAGGAAGAGGATTTTTTCCACTTCCATCAAATCAGCACAGATTAGTCGGAGCATGCCGCCAGGAGATGTGCAAGCTGCCGTGTCTTATTGTGTCTTATTGCAACTCTTTCGTCCGCCAGTGATCGTTCTCTCCTGTTACCTTCTCTCTCAAAATCTCAGATTGTGTTCTCGAGATACCCTTAGAAAACGAGTTACCCTTAGAGAACTGTTGATGACCAACTGCTCTCTGGTCACCCGCTCTGTATCGTGAGTTGCTCTTTAAATTCACACCCTTCTGCGAAAACAACTCTGGTAGGACGTTTATGAAGACGAGTTGCAGATCACGTGACAAGGTGTGGATGCCAATAACGGTTGGATGCCAATAACAGAATTGAGCAATCGCAACCAAGTCAGCAGATGCATATGTAGATGAAATTCAATAAAGTCACTGCATACCAAGTATTTGCTCTTATTGAGAATTTCTCCTCTAGGTTTCTGCACCATGGTGTGCGGCCATCACGGCTGGGAACGGAGTACTCCAAAGCGATCACGCAGTTCAGCAGGCAGCGGAATGTGACCGCGGCTCGTGCAATCTTCGAGGACCTGGTGACTTCGAGACCTGACCAGATTGACACATTCGCTTGTCGTGCGGTCATCGACGCGTTCAAGGAAGCGAGGCTTCCTCAGGAGGTATGTCCGAGTAGAGAAACAAACACTTGGCACATGGTGTCTCATTTAACCGCACATTATGAGATGATGCTGCCTCAATCGCAGGATTTCCATCTAATGAGCGGTGGTACTCGCTGCTGTGTCGGCTCTCCACCATCACGCGTCTGTCCAAGCTCTGGGGCGCTGTAGGAATCTATTGCTTTCATGATAGCCCCTCTTATCAGCATGCAGATTACAGATCTGTTGACTTAGGCTGGGGGCCGTGTGCATTTGTGCCTGTGACAACAATGAAGGCCGGAAAAAGGAAAAGGACGATTGAAGGTGTGCCTTCAAACGAGCGCGATAGGTCATGTACATCAGTGCCTTACAACCCGTTTCGAATCCTGCAGGCACTGCAGACGTTTGAAAGCATGCCGCGCTGGGGCGTCAAGCCGAACAAGCACATCTATCACAGGTGAGAAGCTGTCCACTTTCCTGTCTGCAATCCGCAGTAAAGAGCGCATATATTTCATCTGCCTTGCACTTCAGCATGGCCTTTGGTCCGGGTCTTGCGTCCACGTGGGCCCTTCGACCGGGGTCACGAATATGTAACATTTTCAGCGAACGAACATTTAACATTTCGCAGCGTCTTCCGTTTTATTGGCTGAGGCAACCCGTCAGAGTTTTGCAAGAGGAGAGTACAACTTCTGCGTGCCTCCGGTTTTACCCCTAACTGCCGCCTTCTCCATGAGGTCAGTCAGGAGCCTGTTCTTGGAGCGAGTGGCAACACCTCTCTTTGTCGCTTCCCAATTCCCCCTCCCTTCCAAAGCCTCCTTTCGAAAATTTAGCCTCAAAGGGCTTCTAGTTCGATCACCGTGTCCAATTCGTGACACGCTGAAGGAGGTTAACGACAAAGTGAAGAGCATCGCTCGGTCTAAGCGGGAAGCGTTGTGCATCGAGGTGTTGACCTCTTCTACTTTCTTCCTTCACCTATCCCAAGTTCTTCCTAAGCCTCTTCCACTTCTTCCTTGACATCTTCCACTTTCTTTCTTCAACCTTTTCACTCTCTTCCGCAGTCTCCTCCACGCGTTCGTCCTCGAGCGCACCTCCCGCTCCGAGCTCCTCGGCGCGCGCGAGGCGGTGCTCCGGACCTGCTTGCGGCTCTTCAAGCAGATGAAGGCAGAGGGCATCGAGCCCGACGGAGTGACGTACACAATCTTGATGACCATCTTTGGAGCGGCCGCGCAGCCGGAACTAGCATGGGGGGTTTACCAGGAGCTGCGGCAGAAGGTGCGGGAGGAGGCGGGGGGCGTCGTGCTGACGCAGCGGCAGTACGGGGCGATCCTGGCGGTGAGTGGCTTGGGCCTAGGGACCTTGCGTCGCCTGCGCCTTTCAAAACTCCTTCAGAAAAGTCTCTTGTTTGGGCGTCACTTCCTTATGAAGGAAGGTTTGGGCCTGGACCGCCGTCTTTCCAGTCAACAGTATTGCTTGCAGGACAAGTAGTTCCAGAAGTGTCTGTCACTAATGGTGCCAGTAGAATTGTACGTATGGGACTTACACATCAGCGCCGATCGGCTTGTAGACAGGCGCATGGATCATGCTGGATTGGTGTGCTGTAAACTCAAAATCCTTCTGCTTTGAGGACACTGAATAAGATGATCTGCTTTGACTATTGGTTTCATACAGATTGGCACAGAAAGTTCCTAGTGAGCCGCCTGTAGAGGCTTTCCAAACGCAAGCGGCGAACGAGGAATCCGACCCCACAGAGAAATATCACGAGCTCTCCAACAAGACACAAGCGGCTAGGCGGGCTTGAGACCATCCAACTTGGAGAGGAGCGATGACAAAAGTATTTTGGCAGTTGCTGACAGGCTGATGGATGCGTGCAGGTGCTGGTAGAAGGGCGCGAAGTGGAGAAGGCGTTTGAGGTGAAGGACGACATGGAGGCGGCGGGGCTGGGCCTTGACCGCATCTCGTGGTGCCTCCTCATCCGCGCCTGTACCCAAGTCGACCAGGTGCGGCGCGACAGTCTTTGCTTTTCACGCTCTTCTTAATGTTGCTTCCAAGTCTTTAAAAGTAGTCCACAAGTCCGCCACATGGCTGGAGAATGTTATTTTGACGTTTGGGGTCAAGGTGTTGCAAACCCGGATTGTCGTTATTGCAGGGTATAGTTATTTCAGTTCCAGGTTTTGCCAACCGGATTTCAACATAGCTTCTCTCGGAATCTGCATACGACGAGAGCTGTGAGACGTTCGTTGAGTTGGATAAGAAGAAATGACGTCAGGCTTCGACTGGTCACCTTTCTTGATAATACACAAGCGGAAGGCGGTGAGGACTGCTGCCGGGTTACTTACGCTTTCCACATCTTAGCTGGCACTGTTTTCTAATAAACTTAGTTGCTGTCAAAAGCAACCCGTCCAGCGTGACCCTTATAAGGGGCCGTCCTTGCTCTTGAGATCGAGACTGACAGGATGATGGGTCACCTGGACTGCATGTCTAAGAGAAAACGGTAAGCCGCATGGCCGGTGAGGGCAAGGGCGCTGATGTGACGTCAGGAGCGGCGACCTGAGGCCGTGATGAGGGTTTTGCAGCCGCTCAAAGGATGTGCATATACGGTGTCAGCAAAGAGTGCAAAACCACCGGAGTTGTCGGGTAGTCAAGTGGGCGTCTGCGTAACAGGTGCGCAACGTGCTTGTTAAGTTGCTGTGCTTCTCTCCAGGTGTACCGTGCGTTCACGGTCTTCGACGAGATGGTCGCATCGGGCTGCCCCCCCTGCACGGAAGCGTACAACGTGCTGATCAACGCGTGCGCGGCCGCGGGGCTCGAGGACCGCGCGTGGGCGCTCCTGGATGAAATGAAGGCGGGCGGGCCGGGCAAGACGGGGGGCGCGGCGTGCGCACCGGACATCGTGACGTTCAACACGATGCTCAAAGTGTGCTACGACCAGCCAGGTGAGATTTTTTGTGTTGACAAAATCTGTGCACATGGTGGTTTGTCTCGAGGCTGGATTGAAGAGGGGGCAGTGGTTGCATACCGTACCAACACGCCGGTTGGGCAGATTTTTGCCCAATAATTAATTTCGATTCATAATGGACGTTTGAAAATTTGGGCAACTCGTTTTGGAATTTTTGAGAGATTTGGGCAACTCTGCATTTATTGCGAAATCCCTTCTTTTACCACTCAAATCTCATCAAAAAAGACAAATTGAAATTTTGAACCATTTGAAACATTGGGCAGAGTGGGTCGGAATATTTTAAAATAATGGGCAAATTGTCATAATTATTAATTTCTGCCCAACCGGCGTGTTGGTACGGTAATGTCAAGGAGGTTGGATCAGGACTGGTTGGAGCTGGATCTTGGGTCCGGCTTTTGAAAATTATGGTGGCGATTCGGATGCCAAGTGAGAGTAAAAGGATGGAATGGTTGGTCAGGACTCAGTCGGGCAGTATGTTCACGTGATGTGTCTCAGATCGGAAGTGGCGTCCAGACGTTACCTTTTTGATTGGGCGGCAGTAAATTAAAGTGCGAAAGTTGCGACGAATTGCGACGAATATATTCGAAGACATGTCGGATTGCTTTGTTTCTCTCATATCAAATCATCGAAGGGTGTGAATGACAAACGACCTTTGATGTGTTTCCAGATTCGTGAGACGGTGGACAAGAAAAGTTCTGGTCCGAAGCGCGAATATGGCGCCCAACATATTCCGCACCTAACAGTTCAGATTTTGCTTCTCAAAAGGCGACTGCAGGACGGATCATTTGACAATTTGCTTATTTTTGACCGTTTTCCAGGCCCTCACCTCCAGTTTGAGCCTTTTCAGTCCTTGGCTCACAGCACCAACCAAGCACACCCAACGAAACTAAAGGATGTTCTCTCGTTCTTTCCAAAATTGCAGAGAAAGCGCACGAGATCCTGGACGAGATCGCGGCGGAGGGCCTGCGTCCCAACCTCCGGACGTTCAACTCAGTGGTCGACATCTACGCCCAAAAGCACGACGCAACCGGCGCGCGGCGCGCGTTCGACCAGATGAAAGCCGCGGGACTGCATCCGAACGTGGTCACGTACACGAGCTTGATGGACGC